TCGGCACCTCCATGACCACGGGCCGCGCCAACGTCATCACCTGGAACGACATCCACCACAAGACCAACTGCACCGGCGGGCCGCAGCTGTACGTGGGGGGCACCGCCCGGGGGGGCACCCGGACATGGCTGGGGGGGGGCATCGCCCGGGGGGGGCACCCGGACATGGCTGGGGGGGGGCATCACCTCTGGGAAGGAACCCGGACATGGCTGGGGGGGGGGCATCGCCTCTGGGGGGGCACCCGGACATGGCTGGGGGGGGGCATCGCCCCGGGGGGGCACCCGGACATGGCTGGGGGGGGGCATCGCCCCTGGGGGGGGCACCACCCTGACATGGCTATGAGGGGCAGCATCCCTGCACCGGCGGGCCGCAGCTGTACGTGGGGGGCACCGCCCGGGGGGGGCACCCGGACATGGCTGGGGGGGGGCATCACCCTGGGGGGCACCCGGACATGGCTGGGGGGGGCACCGCCCGGGGGGGCACCCGGACATGGCTGGGGGGGGGATCGCCCCTGGGGGGGCACCTGGACATGGCTGGGGGGGGGCATCGCCCCAGGGGGGCACCCGGACATGGCTGGGGGGGGGGGCATCACCTCTGGGAAGGCACCCGGACATGGCTGGGGAGGGGACATCGCCTCTGGGGGGGCACCTTGAGATGGCTGGGGAGGGGGGGAGCATCGCCTCTGGGAGGGGGGCACCCTGACACAGTTATGGGGGGGGCATCACTCCTGGTGGGGGGGCATCACGTCTAGGAGAGCACCCTGACACTGCTTGGTGACCTGGTGGGGGGGCATCCCTGCACCAGCAGGCCCCACCTGTACGTGGGGGGGGCATCACCCCTGGGGTGGCTGTGGGGTGGGGGGAGCACCCCAGGGTGGTGTTATGGGGGACGGGGGGGGGCATCTCCCCTGCTATAGCTGTGGGGTGGGGGGTGCTCCCTGGGACAGGTTATAGGGTTGTGGGGGGGCATCACCCCTGGCATAGCTGTGGGGTGGGGGCACCCTGAGCAGTCTGTGGGGGGCGTGGGGTGGGGTCACCTCCCCTGGCACCTCTGTGGGGTGGGGGGGGCACCCCAGGGTGATATTATGGGGGACTGGGGGGGGTGGGGGGGCCCCCCAGGGGAGGTTATGGGGGACTGGGGGCGGCATCACTCCTGGCATGGCTGTGGGGTGGGGGGGCTCCCTGGTGTCAGGCTGTCTTGGGGGGGTGGCATCTCCCCTCCCCGGCACCTCGGACAGGGGTGATGCGCTGGGGGGGGCACGTCTCCTCTGGCATCTCTGTGAGGTGGGGGGGGCACCCCAGAATCAAGCTGTGGGGAAGCAGGGGATCCTCTGCCATTTGGGGGGGGGGGGCTCACCCTGGGGACAGGCTATCGGGATGGGGGGGGGGGGCATCTCCCCTGGCACCTTTGCAGGATGGGGGGACACCCCAGTCTATGGGGCCGGGGGGGGCCATCTCCTCTGGCGTCGCTGTGGGGCAAACTGCAGGGGGGGGCACCCAGCCACGGAGGGGCACATGATGAGCCTGCCGTGCCCCCCCCCAGGTTCGGGTACCCAGACCCCACGTACCTCGCGCGAGTGCAGGAGGAGCTGCGGGCCAAGGGCATCACCGAGGACTGAGCCGGAGGGCAGCAGGACCCCCCCCGGGCAGCGGGACCCCCCCGGCCCCCCCCATTGCCTGTGCCAGGGTCACAAGGAATGTGCCAGGGACCGCCGAGGGGGGGGGCACAGTGCCACACAGCCCCCCCCACCCTGGTACGGACAGACGGACTGCGTCACTCTGTACATAACCCTCCCCCACAGCCCCCCCCCAGGACAAATGGACCGGCTGGGGGGGGACGAGGGGCCTGTGCCCTCTGCCCCACCCGCATTCCCATCCCCCCCGGCAGCGTGGTCAGTGCCCCTTGGGGGGGCGGGGGCATCAGGTTTATTTATTTTTTATTTTTATCCCCCCCCACCCTCCTCGCACCTCCCCAGCTCTGTAACTTTGATCCAATAAAAATATGCAATGCTGCCTTGGGGTGACCGCCCCTCACCCCTGGGGGCAGTGGGGGGTACCAGGAGCCCAGGGGGGTGCGGGGGGGGGGGGGGCAGTTATGGGGCTGCGGGTACAAGACAGGGTCAGTGGGGGTGGGGTGCCAGAAGCTTTGGGGTACCCTGTTGTGGTGGGAACAGGCTGGTGTTCGGCACTGGGCTGGGGACCCCGAGCTGGGGATGTCGGGAAGGGAGAGTGGAACGTGAACTGGCCTGGGGGGATGGGTGGGACACCGGGCTGGGGTCACCGGGGTGGGTCACCGGGGTGGGACACCGGGGTGGGACACCGGGCTGGGGTCACCGGGGTGGGTCACTGGGGTGGGACACCGGGGTGGGACACCGGGCTGGGTCACCGGGGTGGGTCACTGGGGTGGGACACCGGGCTGGGGACATCAGGGTGGGACACCGGGCTGGGGTCACTGGGGTGGGACACCGGGCTGGGAGCTGAGATGTGGACACTGGGATGGGACATCAGGATAGGACATTTGACTGGGGATAATGGCATGGGGCACGGGGCTGGGACGTTGGTTTGGGACACCAGGATGAGGGACTAGGATGGGAGATGGCAGTGGGGACAGTGGGGTGGGACACCAGCATGGGACATGGGGATGGGGGACACCGGGATGGGGCAGTGGGATGGGGACACCGGGATGGTACCTGGAATGGGGACATCAGGATGAAGACATTGGGATGGGGACACGGAGATGGGACACCAGGATGGGGACACTGGGCTGGGACAGCGGGATGGGACACAAGGATGGGGACCCTGGGATGGAAAATAGATTTGGGACATCAGGTTGAGACACCAAAGTGACACACCAGGATGGGACACGAAGGTAACACACCAGGATGGGACACCAGCATGGGGACACTGGGCTGGGGCACCGGGGTGGGACACGGGGGTGTGGACACTGGGATGGGAGGCACTGGGAAAGGACACTGGGATGAGACACCAGAATAGGACCAGGGTGGGGCGGGACCTAAGATGAGGACACGGAGATGGCACACCGGGACGGGACACCGGGATGGGGACATTGGGCTGTGCCCCCAGCCTGGCTGCTGCTGCAAGGGACGAGTTATGGGGGGGCTGGGGACAAGTGTGGGGATGATGGGGGGGGGGACATTACCACGGGGTCCCCACTGGGTCACCCGGGGAGGGGCTGCAGGGTGGTCTTGGGGTGTCACTGTTGGGACGCTCGGGGGGGTCCCAGAGGGTTCCTCAGCAGTTATTGTAGGGTCCCCCGGGACGGGGGGGGGGGGGGGGTCGCTGTGGGACCACCCGGGGGGCGGTACTGCGGGTGCTTGTGTCCCTGTCACTGCCAGGAGGCCACAGGGGGAGGTGACACAGGGACCTCCTGGGACTTGGGGACAGGACCCACTTGCCTTTTGTCCCCCCAGCACGGTTCTTTCCCCACCAGGTATTTCCCCCGGGAGCTGGAGGACCCCACCCCTGGCCCTGGCATGGCCTCGGCCCTCGAGGGTCCCTGGACTTGTCCCTGGTGTGTCCGTGTCCTTGTTCCTGCTGTGTCCTTGTCCATGACATGTCCATGTTCCTAGCATGTCCTTGTCCCTGGTGTGTCCATGTCCTCCTTGCCCGTCACATGTCCTCGTCCCCGGTGTGCCCCTGGTACAGCCTTGTCCTTCACATGTCCATTGTGGGTGTCTGTTCCTGGCATGTCCCTGGCACATCCATGCCCGTGTTCCTGGCATGTCCTTGTCTCCAGCATGTCCATGGCACATCCCCGGCATGTCTGTCCCTGGCATGTCCATGTCCCTGTCCCTAGTGTGTCCCTGTCCTTGTCCCTGGCATGTCCATGTCCTTGTGCCTCGTGTCTCTGTCCCTGGTGTGTCCATGTCCTTGTCCCTGCTGTGCCCTTGTCCACCACATGTCCTTGTCCCTGGCGTGTCCAAGACCGTGTCCATTGTGGGTCCATGTCCTTGTCCATCACAGGTCCATGCCCGTGTCCCTAGCGTGTCCCCGTCCCTGGCATGTCCACACCCAAGTCCCTGGCGTGGCCAAGTCCCTGCAGCCCCTCCTGGCCCCACACAGATGTTGCCAATGGTCAAAACCAGCCCAAGGCTGAGTTCAACAGCTCCGCACCCAGCACCAGCTGTGAGGGGAGGGACCCTGGTGGGTGCCCATGGAGCCCTGGTGGGTGCTGGGGCAGGGTGGGACCCTGGTGGGTGCCCATGGAGCTCTGGTGGGTGCTGGGGCAGGGTGGGACCCTGGTGGGTGCTGGCGGAGCCCTGGTGGGTGCTGGGGCAGGGCGGGACCCTGGTGGGTGCCCATGGAGCCCTGGTGGGTGCTGGGGCAGGGCGGGACCCTGGTGGGTGCCCATGGAGCCCTGGTGGGTGCCGGGGCAGGGCGGGACCCTGGTGGGTGCCCATGGAGCCCTGGTGGGTGCTGGGGCAGGGCGGGACCCTGGTGGGTGCTGGCGGAGCCCTGGTGGGTGCTGGGGCAGGGCGGGACCCTGGTGGGTGCCCATGGAGCCCTGGTGGGTGCTGGGGCAGGGTGGGACCCTGGTGGGTGCCCATGGAGCCCTGGTGGGTGCTGGGGCAGGGTGGGACCCTGGTGGGACCCGGGGAGGGGGCTGTTCAGGGGAATCCGGGGGGCTCTTTGTGGGGCTGGGGGGGGGGTCACACCCACTGAGCCAGTGTGGGAGCTGAGGGGCGCAGCAGTGGGGGTTCCGGGCACCCCCCCTCCACTCGGGGACACATGGAGGGACCTGGGACCCTACCACCCCCCCCCCAGCACCCCATAGATCCCCCCATCCCTGGCGCGCGCGCACAGACACCCGCAACCCGGTGACGCGTCCCACGGGGTCCCCCCCGCAGGGACCCCCCACCCGTGGCACCCTCACCCCCGGCGACGTCACCCACTCGCAGCAGTGGGTCGGGCAAGCGCGTCGGGAGCGGGGCTTGGAGGAAGAGGCGGGGTTAAGATGGGTGGGGCTTAAAGGGGCGGGGCTAAAGAACGGCGTGGAGCTTTAATGGGCGTGGTCAAGGTGGGCGTGACTGTGGCTTTGCAGATGGGGCAGTGCTGGGGTGGGGCTTGCTGAAAGGGGCGGGGCCAAGATGGCGCGTATAAAGGGGTGTGGCTAATAGAAGTGGGTGGTGCTTGGGAATGGGGTGGAGTTAGCACGCGGGGCGTTGCCTAGAAGGGGCGGGGCTAACGCGGGAGGGGGCGTGTCCTGAGCGGGGCAGGGCTCCCCCTTTTTCTGAACAAAGAGGCAGATTTCGGTCTGGTTAAAATCTCACCATCCATCGGGTAGAAAATGGGGGGGGGGGGGGGGGGCGGGGCGGGGGGGCAGCCCCTCCCCCAGCCTGGCCCTGGGGGTCCCGGGGGGGCCGGGGCTGAGACTTGGCACAAAAATCCTGGCAGCAGCGTGGGGACAGGGGCTGTACAATAGAAAACTGAGTCTGGGGGAGAGGACAAAAAAAGAGGGGGGGGGGGGGCGTCCGGATGCCTGGATCCCCTGGGGGGGGTCCGTGTCCCCCCCATCCCCCTCCTTCCCCCCCACCCCCCACCCCCCAAAGTACAAAATAGCTAAAAACACCGCGGGGGGGGGGGGAGGGGTCCGGGGGTGCTGCAGGGTGGCCACAGTCCCCTCAGTGGTGGCCCGTGGCGGTGGCCCTCGGGGGGGAGGGGGTGGTGTCCCACGGCGGTGGGCCCGGGGTGGCCAGGGGCTAGTTGCCGGCCATGCACTTGAAGCGGTTCTTGAAGAAGAAGAGGCGATGCTTGAGGCGCAGGCTGTCGTCGCGAGCCGGCGGGTACCGGTACCGGGCGTACTGCCGCTCGCCCTCCGTCCGGCGCCACGGCAGCGCCAGCTTCGAGGCGTGATCCACCACCACGTCCTCGCACGACCCCACGTGCAGCACCCCCAGCCCGTCGATGAAGAACTCTGGGAAGCGGGGAGGGAACCCCGGGACGGGGTCAGCGTCTCCAGCACCCCCAGCTCGCTTCCCAGTGCTCCCCGTCCTCCCGCTGCCAGGACCCCATGGGGGGGGGGGGAAACCCTCTTCTCCCCCCCAGTAGTGAGCTGGCGGCCTCCCCAGTTCCCTCCCCAGGGGATCCCTATGTCTGGGACCCTTCCAGGACCCCAGCGTTCAGCCCCCTCCTTTTCCCTGAGGGACCCTGATGTCTGAACCTCCCCCAGAAGACACCCCACACCCCTCCCACCCAGCGCCCCAACACCCCGGGCCCCACCATGGGACACCTGTCCCACCCAGGACACCAACGTCCAAACCAGCCTGGAACACCCCAGACCCTGTCTTGGGACATCCCAGACTTTCCCCCACAACATACAGACTCCCTCTCCCAAGTTCCCCCCATCCAGGACGCCCTTCTCTCCCTGCCACCCCCAGGACCCCCCCCCGGGGACACCCCAACCTTCCCCCCCTCCAGGATACCCTGCCCCATCCCCCCAGACCCCCTCCTCCAGCAACCCCCAGGACCCTCCTAAATCCCCTCCCGCTGCCAGCCCCCCCCCCGGACCCCCCGCCGCCCCTCCCCACGCTCACCGAGGTGGGCGACCCGGCGCAGGCGGGGGTCGAAGCCGACCTGCCGGACCTTGTCGGTGCGGGCCAGGAAGAAGTTGACGACGCCGTCGGTGACAACACAGGCGGGGAAGCCGGCCAGGCGGTGGTGGAAGCCAGGCCGCGTCCGCAGGCAGTCGCCCCCCGCACCGCCCCCCAGCACACTCAGACGCTGCCGGTACGTGGTGGTGTAGCCCGTGATCTCCCGCACCGCACCACCCACCTGCGGGACGGCACCAGGAGCTGGCACTGGGCACCGAGACACTCTCCATCACCCCCCAGTACCCCCCAGTACCCCCCAGTACCCCCCAGTACCGCCCACCTGCAGGATGGCACTGGCACTGGGCACCGAGACACTCTCCATCACCCCCCAGTACCCCCCAGTACCCCCCAGTACCCCCCAGTACCCCCCACCTGCAGGACAGCACCAGCACCAGGCACTGGCACCGAGACATTCCCCAGTACCCCCCAGTACTGCCCAGTGCCACCCACCTGCAGCACCAGGCACCGGCAGCCTCTAGGACCCTCTCCACGTACCCACCCACAGCCCCCCTTGCACACCAGTCCCACCAGTACCCCCCAGCGTGGTGCCACCCCCCTGCAGCACTGCCAAAACCCTGGGCGCCTGCCCCCTTGGGGACACTGGGGGGGACACCCCCAGGCACTGGGGGCGTGGGGCCCTGCAATGGCACCAGGCACTGGGACCACGGGGCAGCAGGACCCCCCTCCCAGGAGCACGGGGACCCCCTGGCCACCAGCACCCCCGGGGTGCCCCCCCCCGGGGTGCTCCCAGTGTCGTCGTCCCCCCCTTGGCCCCCGCACCAGGTCCAGACTGGTTTTCTCCAGCACGTCCACCAGTTTCTCCAGGCGGGTGCGGGGGGTGAAGATGAAGTCGTCGTCCACCCACAGCACGTACTTGGTGGTCACCTGCGAGACCGCCAGGTTCCTCCCGGCGAACCAGCCCTGTGGGGCCAGCGTCAGCACCCATGGGCCCCCCCGGGAGCCACAGCCCTGCTGCGCCCCCCCCCCCCCCCGGCTCCCACAGCCCTGCCACCCTGCCAGACCCCCCGCATCCCCCCCTCTTTGGGGACCCAAACCTCCGCCAAACACCCCCATGACCCCATCCCCAGGGTTCCACAGCCCTGCCAGAACCCCCCCTCCCCTTGCCCCTCACCTCTGGGGTCCTACAGCCCCATGTCCCTCCCCATGGTGACACACACCTCTGCCACTCCCCTGTGTCCCTCCTCCCTGGGGTCCCACAGCCCTGCCACCCCCCCCCCCCAGCCCCACTTGCTTTCCCCAACCTCCCTGTGTGCCCCGCCCCGGCCCAACCCTGACCCCCCCAGCCGCCCCCCCCACCTTGCCGAAGGGCATGAGGTAGTGCTCAAGGTGGGGGCCCTGCAGGGGCTCGGGGCGCTGGCTGTCATCGGCCACCACGATGGTCACAGAGGGGTAGAAGCGGCGGATGCTGGCGATGAGCCCCCGCAGCTTGTCGTAGCGCAGGAAGGTCTTGGTGGCGATGGTCACCAGCGCCGTGATGTTGTACCCTGGGGGGGGGTGTCAGCCGGGGGGGGGCGGGGGGCACTGGGAGGACTGGACCCCCACACTGGGAGGTCTGGGCCACCCTACACTGGGAGGGCTGGTTTCGGGGTGTGGAGGTGGGGTCCCCGTGGCTCACCTCCATCCCCGTCGCTGTCCCCGTCGCCGTCCCCGGGGGGGCTGGGGCCGTAGAGGCGGGGGGTGGGCGGGTGGCGGATGCGGATGGCGAAGGCGGCGTCGTGCCCGTCGGTGGAGAACTGCACTGGAAGGTCAACGGGGCGCTGGGTGTCCCGGGGGGGGATGGGGGGGCAGCACCCACGCCCCCAGGGATGGGGACCCACCCAGGTGCCACCCACGGCACCCCGGGGTCACACCCCCCCCGCAGCACCCACCGATGTCGGCAGTGTCGGGGTGGAAGAGGGTGTTGGTGTAGGTGACGAACTGCAGCTGGCGGTTGAGGTGGTCCAGGCGGGCGGCGGCCAGCGAGAGGTGGGGCTGCCCCTCCCCACGCAGCTCCACGCCCTCCACCACGGCCGCCACGGCCAGTGTCCCCATGGTGGCCGTCAGGTTCACCTGGGGGGGGGGGCGGGACGACACACACCCGGGGTGGCCGGGCCTGGGACACGCCAGGCCACCCCCCAGCACCCGGGGGGGGGCTGCTGTACCCAGATGGGAGCACGCCCCGCCCACGCAGGATCGTGCCCTGCCCACACGCCGCCCACGCAGGATCATGCCCTGCCCACCCTCTCCCCACACCCTGTCCACGCAGGATGGTGCCCTGTCCACACTCCGCCCACACTCCACCCACGCAGGATCATGCCTTCCCCATGCTGGATCATGCCCCGCCCACACCGGATCATGCCCTGCCCACACCCTGCCCACGCCGGATTGTGCCTTGCCCACGGAGGATCACGCCCTGCCCACCACACCCTGCCCACGCCCTCCCCACGCAGGATCACGCGCTCCCCACGCCCTGCCCATGCAGTGTCATGCCCTGCCCACGCCCCGCCCACGCAGGATCGTGCCCTCACCTGGTAGGTTTTCCTGCCCGTTGCCTGCAGGCTGAGCCCTGTGGGGCCACAGACACGGGGCGCGGTGAGCGGCGCCGGGGGGGGGCATCCCCCTCCCCAGAGACCCTCAGGGTGTCACCCCCTGCCCCCCCCCGCGCCCCCCGATGCGCTCATGTCCCGTGACCCTGTGACCCCAACGCTGCTGTAACCCTCCCCGATGCCCCCCCAACCCCCCCCGTAACCCCCAGTGCCCCCCCTCCCCGTGCCCCCCCCGCGCCCCCCCTCACCGGGCACCAGCACTGTCTGCAGCGGCCGCACCTCCACCCCCTGCGCCGGGTACTCGAGGGGGGAGTTGGCGCGGACGATGAGCAGCTGATCGGCCGGGGACTGCACCCTGCGGGGGGGGGGGGCTCAGGGGGGGGCCGGCCTGCCCCGCCCCGAGCCCCGGGGGGCCCACCCTGCCCGATGCTGAGCTTGGGGGGGTCCCGTCCTGCCCCACGCTGAACTTGGGGCGGGGGGGGTCCACACGCTACCCCACGTTGACCTCCAGAGGGTGCCCCCCCCCCGCCCCCCCCCCGCCCACAGGGGTTCCCCCCGTGCCCAGTGCTGAGCCCGGGGGGGTCCCATCCTGCCCCACGCTGACCCTGGGGGGGTCCCACCCTGCTCGACGTTGATCTTGGGGCGGGGGGACCCACACTCTACCCCCCGTTGATCCCCTGAGAGTCCCCCCCCCGCCCCACACCCAGCCCGGGGGCTCCCACCCTGCCCAGTGCTGAGCCCGGGGAGGGGGGGAGCTGTGGGGTGGCGGGGTGTCCTACCCTGCCCCACGCTGACCCTGGGGGGAGGGTCCTATCCTGCCCCACACTGACCCTTTGGGGGGGTCCCACCCTCCTCGACGTTGATCTTGCGGCGGGGGGGCCCACACTCTACCCCACGTTGATCACTCGAGAGTCACCCCCCGCCCCACACCGACCCCAGGGGTACCCCCCCTGCCCAGTGCTGAGCCCGGGGGGAAGGGGGGGGGCGGGCTGTGGGTCTGTGTGCGTGCCCCATCCCCACGATGAGCACCCCCGGGGGCGGGGGGGGGTCCCGCCGCCCCCCCGCTCACCGCAGGCGGTGCCGGCGGTACTCGCGCTCGCGCTGCCGCTGCAGGCGGGGCCGCTCGCCCGGGGCGAACGCGGTGGCGAACTCGACGGCGGGGCCGTGGCCGAAGAGCTGCGGCCGCAGGGGCAGCGCCAGCCCCGGCTCCGCCTCGCAGGAGCAGCCGTTCCTGGGCAGCAGCCTGCCACCCCCCCGCGCCGTCACCTCGCGGGACGGGGCCCACGCGTGGCCGACCCCCCCCCCCCCCAGGTCGCCCCGTCCCACCCCGCTCCCCCCCCGCCCCCCCTTCCCTGGGAGACACGGGATCCCCACCCCATGGGTGCCCACGCCCTTCCCGAGGTGCCCCCCACCCCGTGGGTGCACCCCCCCGAGGTACACCCACCCCATGGGTGCCCCTCCCGAGGTTCCCCCACCCCATGGGTTCCTCCACACCACGGGTGCCCCCTCCAAGGTGACCCCCCCATAGGTACCCCCGCCCCATGGATGCCCCTCCCCAGGTGCCCCCCACCCATCGGTTCCCCCACCCCATGGGTGCCCTCACCCTGAGGTGCCCCCACCCATGGGTACTCTCACCCCTGGGTGCCCCCACCCCATGTGTGTCCCCCCTCCCAGGTGCCTCCCACCCTATGGGTGCCCCACCCCCCGGGTTCCCCTCCCCCCATGGGTGCACCCCCACCCCATGGGATCCCCCCCCAGGTGCCCCCTGCCATGGGTGCCTCCCCCCCGAGATGCCCCCCACCCACGGGTACCCCCACCCCTGGGTGCCCCCCTCCCCGAGCTGCCCCCCACGCCATGCGCATCCCCACCGAGGTTCCCCCACCCCATGGGTGGTCCCCCCCAAGCTGCCCCCCCCCAGGTGCCCCCCACCCATGGGTGGCCCCCGGCCGTTGCGGGTCCTTACTCCATGACTTCCTCCTTGAAGCGGAAGGGGACGTGGGGGTAGGAGCGGGCAGGGGGGGGCAGGAGGGGGGGCAGCAGGTGCTCGGGGGGGGGGGCGGCGCAGGTCCAGGCTGGGGGGGCCCCGGGGGGCCCAGAGGCGCAGGCAGAGCGCGGCCAGCGAGGCCGTGGCCACCAGCAGCAGGCAGAGTGAGCGCTGCGGCCCCCGCATCCTGGCGGGGGGCTGCGGGGGCTCCCGTCAGCGCGCGCAGCCCACAGTGAGGCCAGTGGGACCAGTATGGACCAGTGCCACCAGTGGGACCAGTGACACCAGTGACACCCAGTGCAACCAGTGCCCACAGGTGCCACCGAGGCATACCACTGCCCACCAGTGCCACCGGTGCCCCCCAGTGACACCCAGTGCAACCCAGCACAGCCCAGTGCCACCCAGTGCCACCCAGTGCCACCCAGTGCCTCCCAGTGCAACCAGGCAACCCTAGTGACACCCAGTGCCCCCCAGTGCCACCCAGTGCCTCCCAGTGCAACCAGGCATCCCCAGGGACACCAGTGCCCACCAGTGCCCCCCAGTGCCACCCAGTGCCACCCAGTGCCCCCCAGTGCAACCAGGCATCCCCAGGGACACCAGTGCCCACCAGTGCCCACCAGTGCCCCCCAGTGCAACCTGGTGTCCCCAGTGCCTCCCAGTGCCACCCAGTGCCTGTCAATGCCACCCAGGGCCTCCAAGTGCCACCCAGTGCCCCCCAGTGCCACCCAGGGCCTTTGAGTGCCACCCAGTGCCACCCAGTGTCCCCAGCACCTCCCAGTGCCCCCAGTGCCACCCAGTGTCCCCAGCTCCCCCCAGTGCAACTAGTGTAACTCAGTGCTCCCAGTGCCCCCAGTGCAAATCAGTGCAGGCCCATGCAACACACCAGCGCCCCCAGCGCATCCCAGTGCCTCACAGTACCCCCAGTGCAACCCAGTGTCCCCAGCACATCCCAGTGCCCCCAGTGCATCCCAGTGCCCCCAGTGCAACCCAGTGTCCCCAGCACATCCCAGTGCCCCCCAATGCATCTCAGTGCAATGCAGTGCCTCCCAGTGCCCCCAGCTCCTCCCAGTGCCCCCACTGCTCCTCAGTGCAATCCAGCGTGAATCAGTGCAGGCCCATGCAACCCAGTGCCCCCAGTGCAAACCAGTGCCCCCAGTGCAACCCAGTGCCCCCAGCGCATCCCAGTGCCCCCTGTGCCCCCAGCACATCCCAGTGCTCCCAGTGCAACTCAGTGCCCCCAACACACCCCAGTGCCCCCCAGTGCCTCCAGTGCAATCCAGTGCCCACAGTACCCACAGTGCCCCCAGCGCCTCAGTGCCCCCAGTGCCACCCAGTGCCCCCCAGTGTTCCCAGTGCCTCACACTGCCACCCGGCATTCCCACTGCGAACCAGTGCCCCCAGTGCCTCGCGCTGCCACCCAAAGCCCCCAGTACCTCCCAGTATTCCCAACGCTTCCCGGTCCCCCCAGTTCAACCCAGTGACCCCTTTCTGCTGCACCCATGTGGGTGCACCCTCCCTTTTGCTCTCCCCAGTGCCCCCCGGTGCCCCCCAGTACCCTCACCTCGGGGTGGATGAGAGTCCCGGGGGGGTCGGGGTGGAGGGCGGGGGGCTCAGCGCACACTCATGGCTCTGCCCCCCACGGCACCGGCCTGGGGACAAGGGGACGGCATCAGGGGCGGGGGGGGACAGCACCCACATCCCCCCACCCTGCACTGAGGGGACCCAGGGGTGCCGCTCCACCCAGCCCCCCCAGCCCCTCCCAGGGACATGGCTGCAGCCACGGACCCCCCGGACCCCCCCCCGGATGGCTTTGCCCAAGGATGGAGGGGTTAAGGGGGGGGCAGGATGGGGGGGCTCAGACAACGGGGTGGGCAATGGGGGGTGTCGGGGAGTGGGTGGATCTGGGGTACAGCGGGGCGGCGGGGGGCTGGGAGTGTTTGGGGAGGAATGTGGAGGAGGGGGGGGAGCAGGGAGGGGCCGGGGGGGGGATGTTGGGGGGATGCGGGGGGGTGCAGGAGATGGGAGACGGCTGGATGTGGCCGGGGGGGATGAGGGGGGGGGCGCAGCGAGGATGGGGGGTGCGGGGGGGGGGGGGTGTGGGGGGGTCTGGCGGCCTTGGTGGGGGGGGCCGGGGGAATGCGGGTGGCGGGCGGGGGGGCTGAGGGAGGGGGAGATGGCGGCAAGTGCCATCCCCCCGCCGCGACATGTCGCGATAAGGGCGGGGGCCGGGGGGCGTCGGACGGCTCCGGCCCTACCTGGCTCCGCCGGCGGGTCCCGGCGCTCCGTGGCCGCGCACCGGCACCGGCAGCGGCGGGGGGCGGGGGGGGGGCAGCGCGCCCCCGGCGGCCCCGGCCGGGAACGGCACCGCCGCAGCCCCGGGAGGGGCGGGGGGAGATGCGGGGGGGGCACAGAAAGCGGGGAGGGGGCGGCCGCCGCTGTCACCGTCGCATCGGGCCTGGCGGAGGTCGGGCCTGCTGAGGGGGGGGGATCAGCCCCCCCGCCCCCCGGCCACCCCTCTCCAGCGCGGCGGGGGCTCCGGCTGCCACAGGCCGGGCTTTGTGCCCACGCGTGGGCCACACAAGGGCCCTATTGAGCCGTGGGGGGGAGCCGGTGCCTGGGCTGCCCGCACCCGGGAAGGGGCTGGGGAATTCGGGGGGAAGGTGCTGGGAGGGGACTGGGGGGGTTGAGAGGGTGCTGGGGGGAGGTTTGGGGGGTGCTGAGGATTTCGGGGGGAGGGGGGGATGCTGGAGGGATTAGGGGGGGATGAGGAGAGGTTGAAGGGGTGCTGTGGGGTCCTGGGGGGGGGGTGCTGTGGGAGGTTTTGGGGGGTGCCGAAGAGCTGGGGGGGAGGATTTGGGGGGTGTCAGGGTGAGACTGGGAGGGCTGGGGGGGGGGGGACACACACCGGGGGATGTTAGGGCACGTGGGGGAGGTGCGGGGGGGCGCTTGGTGGGGGGCCCTGCTCGGCCCCGCACCCACGGCGTGTTCTCGGGGAGAGGCCCACGCGTGAGCGCGCTCGGGGCTCCCACGCACGGCCACGGCTCTGGAGCGGGGCCGGGCCCCCTCCTCCCGGCTCCGGTAATCACGTGATTCCCCCCCCCCCCCGCGGGATGCTCTGCCTCCCTCCACCAATCAGGCCGCCGAGATCGCCTGCATCCGGCTCGGCCAATGAGGAGCCGGCGGGCGCGCCACCGCCCTGCGCCTTTAAGACCCTGGCGTTGCGTCATCGACGGCCGGCCTCGCCCCGCCTTCGCGATTGGCCGCCGCCGGCGCTGACTCAGCCAATCGCCTCGCCCTCGGGCGTGGCCACCGCCCTCCCACGGCGCCCTCAATCCCGGCGCCGTCACCGCTGGGTTACGGCCAATAGAAGGCGCGCAACGCGCTAACGGGCGGCCGGGAAGCCCAATCGCCGCGCTGTCTGGCGGTGGGCGGGGCGGGCTCGGGGAGGCGGCGGGCGGAAGCGGCGGCGGCGGCGGAGGGGGGAAGATGGCGGTGCGGCTGGGCCCGGTCCCGGTCCCGGTCCCGGTCCCGGTCCTGCTGGCGCTGCTGGCGCTGCTGGGCCCGCTGCGGGGGGCCCGCGCCGCCCTCAACCTGCAGGAGCTGAGCGAGCTCAAGTACGGCCTGGAGATCCTCGCCGAGCCCGTGCTGGCCGGGCAGGTGGGCGGACGGGGCCGGTGCGGGGACAGCGGCCCCGGGGGCCCTACCGGGGGCCCTACCGGGGACGGCGACAGCAGGCTGGGGGCGCCGGCCCAGGGGCTTACCGCTCCCGGGGGCTCTGGGCTGGGGGTCGTGCCGGGGTGGGGGAAGAGGCCCCAAGTCCCACCAGGCCTGAGGGCACCGGTCCGGGTCTGGGGGCACCGGTCCAGGGCTGGGGGCAGCGCTCCGGGTCTGGGGGCAGCGCTCCGGGTCTGGGGGCACCGGTCCGGGTCTGGGGGCACCGGTCCGGGTCTGGGGGTACCGGTCTGGGTCTGGGGGTACCGGTCCGGGTCTGGGGGCAGCGCTCCGGGTCTGGGGGCACCGGTCCGGGTCTGGGGGCACCGGTCCGGGTCTGGGGGTACCGGTCCGGGTCTGGGGGTACCGGTCCGGGTCTGGGGGCAGCGCTCCGGGTCTGGGGGCAGCGCTCCGGGTCTGGGGGCACCGGTCCGGGGCTGGGGGTACCGGTCCGGGTCTGGGGGTACCGGTCCGGGTCTGGGGGCAGCGCTCCGGGTCTGGGGGTACCGGTCCGGGTCTGGGGGCAGCGCTCCGGGTCTGGGGGCAGCGCTCCGGGTCTGGGGGTACCCTACTCCGGCTGGGGGCAGCGCTCTGGGGTTCTGCTGGGGACAGGGACACTGGCCCGGGCTGGGCCGGGGGCAGGAGCACTGACCCGCGGTGGTGTCAGGACTGGGGACATCGGCCCCGGGGTCCCACCGGGTCTGGGATGGGGACTGTGACCTGCGCTTGTGCTGGGGTGGGGCCGTCAGGCCGGGTGGGTACTGGGGATGGTGGTGCCAAGGGTGGGGGTGCTGGTCTGGGGTGGGGTCCTGTCCCGGGGCATCACCACGGAGGGAACGGGCTGTGACCGGGCCGGGGAGCTGTCAGCGACAGGGGGGGGCGTCACCAGGCCTGCCCGTGGGTCGTACTGGGAGCACTGGGGCAGGGAGCTGGGGGGTATCCATACCTCTCTCACCTCCCGTTCGCCTCTGCTGAGCAGCTCCTGGCAGCTGTGGGGCGCAGCTGGGACTGGGGCGTCCCTGGGGTGACGGTGACTCCCCCCCCAACACCAGCCTGGCGCTCGGCGGGGCCGCGACTTCCGCGTCTGTCCGCAGTGGCGCGGCGCTGGCCGGGCCTCGCCACGGAGCAAAGTTCTTTCCCCGGGTGACAGAGGGCGGGGAGTGGCCCTCGCCCCACGCCCTGGCTCCCCGCATTTGCCAGCAGCTGGGTGGCACCTGCCCGGGCCGCCCCGTGTCCCTTGCCGCTGTCCTGCGCCAAGCTGTTGGGTGGGAGTGGCACTTGAGGGGTAGCGAAGGGCCGTTTGGGAGCCCCTCCAGCAGCTGCTGGGGGTGGGGGGTGTCTGTCTTGTGCCCACGTTGCAGCATTTTACCCAGCTGGGCTCACCCGCCGCCGGGAGAAAAGGAGAAACTGGGAGAAGGAGGGGCTGCGGTTTGCCCTGATTTCCCTGTCAGGAAGTGGCGACTGGCTGCCCCCGTCCTGAGACACGTCCCGCCAGCCTCCCAGACCCCTTGTGTGGTCCCCAGGGACCCTGACAGCTGCCCGTTGTGTTCCCCCCCCCTCCCAGCGCCAGACGGAGGGTGTGGTGACGGTGGCATCAAAGTTCAAGCAGCGCTATGAGTGTCGGCTCCCGCCCGCCGCTGTCCGGCGCCAGCCCGACCCCGAGGAAGAGGCGCAGCTCTACAACGGCTCCGGCGTTGCCGAGCTCCTGCGCCCCATGGCAGCTGCCCCATGTCTTGTCAAGGTGTGCTTGGGGGGGTGCAGGGTGCGGAGGTGTTGGGGGGGGGGGATCACCCCATCACATCCGCCTTCATCCTGTGTTTTTCCCTGTTTTTTTCCAGACCAAGGACTGGTGGACGTACGAGTTCTGCTATGGGAAGCACATCCAGCAGTACCACGTGGAAGGTGACGGTGGCGTAGGAGGGGGAAGGGGCAAATTGTCCCCATGTTGTGTGTGTCCTCCCCTCCTCGAGTACTGCCCGTGCGACTCTTGCCTCTCGCCACAGAGTCAGAGATCAAAGGAGACGTCCTCTTCCTCGGCTACTACCAGTCAGCATTCGACTGGGACGATGAGACAGCCAAGGTACGATGAGGCGCTGTCAGCCCCTTGCTCAACCCTCTTACAAGGCAGCAGGGAATCCCTGGGGGTCCCCATCCCCACCCTGCTCTCCCCCCATCCTCTCAGGCCTCCAAGCAGCACCGGCTGAAGCGGTACCACAGCCAGAGCTACGTGAATGGCTCCCGGTGTGACCTCACCGGCCAAGCCAGGGAGGCCGAAGTCCGGGTAAGACCCCGGAGAGGGTGACACACGAGTGTCCCCCGCGGTGCGGGCAACTGACAGCCCTCACCCCCCCCCCACCCCCCCCCAGTTCCTGTGTGAGGAGGGGGCTGTCGACTACATCGCCCGGGTGGACGAGCCGCAGTCCTGCTCCTACGTCCTGACCGTCCACACCACCCGCATCTGCCACCACCCCTTCCTGCGCCCGCCGGCCGGCGCCGCTCCGCAGCCCATCCTCTGCCAGCCGGCGCTCAGCCCGGCCCAGTACGTTGAGTACGTCCGCGCCCAAGTCTGTGAGTGTCGAGGGGGTGGGGGGGAACAGGGCACCCCCGGCAGGACCCCGGCACGGGCGTGATGCGGGTCCCCTCTGTCCTCCCAGCTGACACGAAGCGGAAGGTGGAGGAGATCTCGGAGGAGCTCAAGACGCTGGACACAAGGCTGTGGAGTGAGAGGGACGCTGAGGCCCCTGCGCAGCCCCCCGCGGGCACGCCGGCAGCCCGCGGTGACGGTACAGCCCCGCGTCCCATCCTCGCCCCGGCAGCGAAGCCGCTGCGGGTGTTTGCTGGCTGGGGCAGCGTGCTGGGAGCCGCTGGGTGCCAGCCCTGTCCCATCCCCTCCTCCCGTGCCAGCCGCGCCGGGGGACGAGCTGGACCCAGCGAAGGAGGCGGCTTTTTGGGATCGGGCGCGCGAGGTGACCGTCAAGGCTGGCGGCCAGCAGGACAGCGCCAGGGTGAGTCCCCCGGGGGCCTCGGGGATGTCCTCACGGCCACCGGCAAGGGCGAGCCGGGCCGGACGGGCGTCACCTTAGAGGAGTGGTGCTGGGCTCCCGCTCCACCGCCCTGTCTCCTTCCTGCAGGCAGAGGAGCTGTCCCCAAAGGCAGCTGGCAGCCGGGCAGCTGGTGAGTCCCTGGGGGGGGCAGCTGGCAGCGGCTGCTCCACGTCCCCCCCCCGGCGCATGCCACGAGCCTTCTTGGCCCCCGTCCTTCCCGCTGGTTTGTTTTTGGCGGTCGCCTTGTAGATACGCGGAAGAAAATCCACTTCAAAGTGATCAGGAGCCCCGGGGACCTGCTCCAGTTCATCGAGGAGCTGAAGGAGAGCACCAAGAAGGTGGGTGGCCCACCCCGGCCCACCCGTGGCAGGGACAGGCCCCTCGGGCTGCTTCTCCCTGCCTCAGTTTCCTCATCAGCACTGAGGGATGTTCATGAGAACCTTCCCACCGCCTCCAGGCCAAGGAGAAGGTGAGTGAGGAGGAAGAGGAGGACACGGCGGCGAAGGCTCCCCCGGAACCTCCTGTCCCTGAGGAGCCGCCAGCGGGTGAGAGGGAGCGGCTGGAGGAGGAAGAGGAGGATGAGGAGGAAGATGGGGACCTTCTGGGTGGCTTTGAGAAGGAGCTGGAGGCCGTTCTGCTGCCCCGGGAGCAGATGGCCCAGCTGAAGGAGGAGGTGAAGACTGAGATGGAGAAGGAGTTCGACAACATCATCAACGAGGTGGGTCACCATGCTGGGGACCCCCTGGCCGGGCTGGGGACCCTCCCTTGACCCCCTCCCTTGTCACCCGCAGGTGGAGGACGAGCTGGAGACAGAGGGGCTGAAGGGGGAGTTTGACCGTAACCAGGCGTCCAAGTCCTTGGCCTCCACCCTCAACCGCCTCATGGACAAGCTGGATGGGGGTGGCCCAGGCCCGGGGGTGGAGAAGGAGGAAGAGGAGGGGGCCGGGAGGAAGGTCACCCCCAGCCCCCCCGCCGCTGACGGCCGGGTACGGGTGCGGGTGAGCAGGATCGGGCCCGGCAGTGCCCGGCAGCGGGACCCCCCCCCCCAAGAGATGGGTCAGGACAATCCCCAGCTCCAGCACATCGAGAGCGAGGTCCGGGAGCTGCTGGCCAAGGAGGGGCTGCGGGCTGAAGGTAGAGGGGTTCGGGGGGGTGGGGGGGGGCTGCAGTTGGGGGGTACTCCCTCCCCCCCCCCGCCATGGCCCTCTGTCCTCCCTCTCCCAGGAAAAATCGAGATCAAGATCGTGACGACGGGGGGCGGCGACGAGGACGATGCGCACTGGCTGTCGGAGGAGGACACCAAGAACCTCAAGGAGATCTTCTTCAACATCCTGGTGAGCGGGAGGGGAAACTGAGGCACGGAGAGGTGGGGGAGGGGAAGAGGGGCAGCCAGGGACTGCATGCTGTGTCCCCCCCCTTATGATGTGTGTGCGTCCCCCCGCCCAGATCCAGGGCACGGAGGAGGCGCAGAAGGAGCGGCGGCGGCAGCAGGCACTGGAGGACAACTACCGCTTTGTTTGGGGGGGCCGGGACCAGCCCCAGCCCCCCGGCGACTCTGAGGACCCCGACTTCTGACCAGACCCCCCCCTGACCCTCCCCACCCCAATTTGTGGCTTTGCCCCTCTAACCCCCCCACCACCTTAGCGTGGGGCTGGGCACAGGACCCGTGAGGGGGGGGCATGATGCTCCCCCCGCAACCTCCCAGGGGCGAACCTGGACTGTTTGGGGGAGGGGAGGGGGGAAACTCACTGTCCCCAATGCGGGGGGGGGGGGGGGGGGGGGAGACACACATGACCCTGCGCTGAGAACAGGCGCATTTGTGACATGGATGAGTGGGGGCAGGAGTGGGGAGGAGCGTGATTTAGGGGTGGGGTGGGGGGTTGAGGGGGGGATTGTGATTTGGGGGGGATTCCCACTGTTGTCACTGGAGGCATTTGCGCTCCCCCCCTCTCTTCCTGGGGGCGGCACTCTCTCACAATGAGATGTAATGAGGTTGTTAGGCCTCTGTGACCCCTTTTCCCCACCCCCACCCCCCTGATTTTTATCAATAAACCAAGATCTGCCCCGGACTGTGCCTCTGTCTGTCCAGAACCAAGGGAGACCCCAAAACCCACCGCGACCCTCAGACCACCCGAGAACCCTGGGACCCCCAAACCAGCCGGGATCCAGGGGCCGGCCCCAACCTCGGGACCCCCGGACTGACTTGGGACCCTCCTGAACCCCTGCCCCCAGATGCCCCCCTGCACCACAGTCCCTCTTGCCCTGCTCCCCCCTTTCATTTCCCCCAGGTTCCACCACCCCCACCCCCCAAAGGGGCTGGGGGGAACCCAGGGGGCAGTGGGGCTGCCCCCCGTTCCTCCCTTTAACTTATAATGGGGGGTCTGCGTCACCCCTCTGTGCTCCCCAGATACGCCTTGGGCCTGGGTGGGGGGGGTTCTGGTGTGGGGTGCCAGCTCCACCAAAACCCCCTGTAGCTGTTGTCACACGCACCCCCCCACTCTGGGTGTCACCCTCCCCAGCACCCCGGGGGTCCTGTCCCCACCCCCCCACAGCGTTTCCCTGGCCACTGGCAGTTGCAGATCAGGCTGTGGCAGATGGGGGATGTCCCAGGGGGCACCTCACAGGGGAGCCCCCACTCCACTCCCACAGACCCCCCCGCCACGCGGCACCACACTGCTGCTGAAGAGCTCACGGCTCCCCTTCCACGGGGGCATCTTCGTGGGCTTCATCGCCACCTTCCTCTTCCTCCTCCACATCATCCTGCTGCCTCGGCCTGTGTCCCCCACCCAGCCAGGACCCCTGGGCAGTCAGTGCACACCCCCCCCCCCCCCCCGGTGTTGCCTGGTCCCCCGTGCTCTGTGGGGTGGCCCCGACCCGGCTCTGCAGGTGGGTGATGCTGGGTGGGGGGGGACGCTGAACCACCACAGGCGGTTTGGGGTCTCTGGTGGGATGGGGTGGGGGGTGTGGTGGGCTCACCCAGCTAGCTGCTCCAGTTGGGCTGGGGGGCTGAGGGCCGACCCCCCGACCACGCAGCGTGGGTGGAGGTGTGGGGCCAACAGAGCACGGTCCCCCTGCCCGTGGCGGCGGGCGAGGACGCCGGGGAGGAGCGGGCGCTGTACGAGGGGGGTGCGTGCCCCGTGCTGGGAGGTGACCAGCACCACCTGCGCCAGACTGACTGCTTCCTCACGGCGGCCGCCGACACCTTCGTGGTAGTGGCCAACCTGCCCTGGCTGCTGGCCGAGCAGGGCTACGTGAGCGGCGGGGCGGGCTACGGGCTCAGCAAGGAGGCCCGGCACCTCTACCAGTGCCGTGGAGGACCCGGAGGTGATGGGGGGATGGATGTGGGTGGCTCGCGGGACATGTGGGGCCACAAGACCTTCCACGCCCGACTGCCACCTCACTGAGAGGTTCTCTCAGAGCTTCTGGTACTGGAGCCATGGCTACTACCCCACTGCGACAGTAGGTCACACCTCCCCGGGTCCCTGTCCGTGGACGCTGCACTTTCATCCTGCCCACCCCGGCAGGGGCAGCTGCCAGGACCCCGAGGTGGCCACAGTTTTCCACGCACGGCTATAGTCCTCCGTGCGTGACCGTGGATCCCTTGCATGGCCGTGGTATCCCCACAATGCATGGCCACAGTCCTCCTTGCATGGCCACAGTCTGCCCACGCACGGCCGTGATCCTCCACGCACGGCCGTGGGCCCCCTTGCACAGCCGTGGTCTCCTTGTACGTGACCGTGGTGCCCCTCGCACGGCCACGTGCCTGACTGCATGTCTGTGGCACCCCACACGTGGCCATGGCCCCTCCATGCATGCCTGTAGCATCCCACTGTGCATGGCCACGATGTCCCCACCCATTCGTGGCCACGGTTCCCCTATGTCTGTCTGTAACATCCCCCCCGTTTGTGGCCGTGGCATTCCCTCACCGTGGTATCCACCCCATAAATGCCTGTTGTATCCTCAGCCACGGCTGTGGTGTCCCCACAGTGCACGGCCACGCTCCCCCCACGTGTGGCCCTGATGTCCCCGTATCTATGGCCAAGGTGTCCCTCCACGTGCATGGCCACTCTTCCGCCGTGCATGACCACAGTGCCCACAGCCTTCCATGCATGGCCGTGATCCCACTTGCACGGCCGTGGTACCCCCAGAAAGCGTGGTCACGGTTCCCTTTGCGTGGCCACCGCCGTCCCGGTGACCACGGTGCTCCTGTGCTTGACTGTGGTACCCGTCCCATACGTGGCCACGGCATCCCTCCCGTGGCTTGTTTGTGGTGTCCCCAACCACGGTGTCCCCACAATGCATGGCTACGGTGCCCCAGGTGTGGCCGTGGTGACCCCCAGGTGTGGCCGTGGTGACCCCCCAATGCCTGGCTGTAGTAGCCCCCCCACTGTGTGGCCAGTGTGCGCCCATGGTGTCCCCCTCTATGTGGCCCATGACCACAGTTTTCAAGGCGACCATCACCCCTGGGACACCCACCCACAATCTCCTCTCACCCCACTGCCTGATCGGCACAGGTGCCCACGGTGCCCCCCCAGCCCCCGCCCCAGTTCCTGGCCACGTTTCCCAGTGGGGAGTGGGGAGGGGGAGTAGCTCTGCCCCGGGGGTGCTGAGCTGGGGTCTAGAGCACCAGTGGGGCCGGGCACTGCTGCCAGCAGGGACCCCGGGGGGGTCACCATGGGCGGGGTCTGGCTGGGGAGAGCTGCCTCCAGTGCCCCCCACCCCACTCAGGGACACCTGGCTTGAGGCCATGGTGATGGGCTCAGGGGGTGTGGGGGTGGCCTCCAGCCCCCCCGGCCCTCCTGCCCTGTGGCACCAGTGGAGTGGGAGGGGGGCACTGGGTGCCTGGTGCCCCCCCTTGCCTCTCCCAGCAACCCCCGCCCCCCTCCCGAATCCTTGACCACCCTGCTCTAGCCCAGACTCCCCCTCACTGGGGCAGCCACTCTCGGTGGCCATCGCTGGGGTGTTGGTGGCCACGGGAGCTGGTTTGGGGGTCCAGGACAATGGGTGGGGATGGTCCCCCCCGTTTGCAGTGGGGTGGGGGGAGTGGGCGGGTGTCAGTGCTGCCCACGGGCGAAGGGAAGTCCATGAGTGGGGGTGGCATGGGGACATGGCCCCCTCCCAGTGTGGCTCCAGGGAAGGGCTGGGATTGGCTGGGGGGACCCATGGGTGCTGCCGTCACCCCCCACGGCCTCAGCCCCCGCCCAGTTAAAGCCCTTTGCCCGGGATGGAGGAGCCGGTTCCTCGTTTGGGTGCGTCCATCCGTGCCACGTGGTGCCACCGCCACCGTCACCACCGGGGCCACGGCCAAGCCTTGGGGTGCAGGGGGGCCAGGCTGGGGCTGCCCCCGCCGCAGGGCTGGCCAGGATCAGGCCCTCCCCGGGAGGTGCTGGACGGGACGGGTGATTGGGGCCACGGCAGGTACGGAATCCGGCACCGGGGTGGGGGCACGAGGGGAGGGATGGGGTCCCTGGGGAGCAGGAACACACCCCCCCCCCGGCCCCATTACTTCCCTGGGGACCCCAAATGCCCTGGGAGCCACCAGCCTCCTCCCCCCCACCCCCAAGTCCCTCTCCCACCCCAGCCAGGCCCGTGTGTCCCTAATTAGTGGCTGGTAATGAGATTTGCTGGAATTAGATGTCCCTGGTATGGGGGGAGCGGCAGAGGAGGTGGGGGGGGGTCATGGTGGGGCAGGGGCTGGTGGGTCTGGGAGGGAGAGGGGGGACTGGGGTGGGAAAAACATCAGGCTGGGAGGGATTGAGGGGTGTCTCAAAGGGATGGGGGGGCTGGTGGCTTTGCAGGGACACACGGAAGGGGACAGGGGGTGTCCGGGGCGGGGGGGGGTTGGCTCAGCATGACACGGAACTGGTGGTTTGGGTGGGGGCAGAGCCACAGGCAGGGCCCCACTGTGGTGGGGGGTGGGCAGTGGCTTGTGGAGGTGGTGGGACCCCCCACTGGAACCTATTTTGGGGGGAGGGGGGCCAGATCCAGCCCCCTCTGGGGAGACCATCCCCTCCCACCCCTTGTCCCTGTCTCTCCTCAGCCCCCCTGGGATGCGGCGGTGAGGCCATGTGGGGCTGGCACCCACGGGTGCCCTGGTTCCCCCTGGGCTTCGCTGTGGGGCTGGTCCTGGGGGGCAGCCTCCTGCAAAGCCTACAGCAGCTCTGGGACCCCCCTGGTCCCCCCCTGGCCCCCAGCATTGCCCACCTGCACAGCCTCCCCCAACCCACAGGTGAGCCCTGGGAGGGGCCCCATGGGAGACACCCGGACACGGGGTAGGGAGGGGAGCGGGGGAGCAGTCCCGGAAATAAGGATGGACACGGAGGGACGGACGGACACACCTCCCCACATCCTGGGTCCGTGGGGAGGCAATGGGAAGGGAAGGGTGAGGGGCACAGTCCCGTGGGGCTGGTGGTGAGGGATGGGGGGACAGTGGTGGGGGGGGTGGCAGTTCTGAGCTGGGGACAAGGACAAGGCAGTGTGAGCTGTGGTGGGAGCTCTGATGTGGGGACAAGGGACAGCGTGGCTGGTGGGGGGAGCTGGGGACAGTGAGGGGACAGCGTGGCTGGTGGGGGGACCTCGTGTTCGATGGGGGCGATCACAACCTGTCAGTGGTGGGAGCTCTGAGTGTGGGACGTGAACGGGACCTTCTGGAGGGAGGGGGGACCTCTGAGCTGGGGACAAACGCGGGACCTTCTGGAGGGAGGGGGGACCTCCGAGCTGGGGACAAACGTGGGACCTCCTGGAGGGAGGGGGGACCTCCGAGCTGGGGACAAACGTGGGACCTTCTGGAGGGAGGGGGGACCTCCGAGCTGGGGACAAACGTGGGACCTTCTGGAGGGAGGGGGGACCTCCGAGCTGGGGACAAACGTGGGACCTCCTGCACGGTGACGGCAGCTCTGACTTGATGAGAGTTATGGGCTGGTGGTGGTGGCACCGTGGCGCTGGTGACCAGGACGGGACAGTGTTGGAATTGGTGGTTGCTCTGAGCTGGGGACAAATTTCAGCCCTTCTGGCCAGTGGTGGGACGTCTGAGCGGGTGACGAGGGCGGGATGGGGTGGCCGGCGGTGGGAGCTCTGAGCTGGACAGAAGGAGGGGGCGGTGCCGCTGGCGGTCGTAGGTCTGGGCTCGCGACAAAGCCGGGACTTTCTGGACCGCGGTGGGAGCGCCGAGCGGGGGACGAGGAGGGAATGGCGTGGGCGCAGCCGGTGGCGCTGAGCTGGGGACGGGTTCCCCAGTCCCTCTACCCGGGGCGGGGGGCTGTGGGGTGTCCCACCGCTCCCCACCGCCCCCGGCAGTGAACAGCAGCCAGGCGCGGGCGCTGTACGAGCGGGTACGCATCCTGTGCTGGGTGATGACGGGGCCCAGCACCCTGGAGACCAAAGCCCGGCACGTGCGGGCCACCTGGGCACGCCACTGCAACGTGGTCCTCTTCATGAGCTCGGCGCCGGACCAGCGCCTCCCCGCCGTGGGGCTGCCCGTCCGAGAGGGCCGGCACCAGCTCTACTGGAAGACCATCCGCGCCTTCCAGTACGTGCACCGGCACCACCTGGGTCAGGCGGACTGGTTCCTCAAGGCGGACGACGACACCTTCGTGGTGGTGGCCAACCTGCGCTGGCTGCTGGCCGGCCACCCCCCCGAGCGCCCCATCTACTTCGGGAAGCGCTTCAGGCCCTTCGTCAAGCAGGGCTACATGAGCGGCGGGGCGGGCTACGTGCTCAGCAAGGAGGCCCTGCGGCGTTTCGTGGCCGCCTTTGCCTCCGGCACCTGCACCCACACCAGCGCCGTGGAGGACGTGGCCCTGGGACAGTGCCTGGAGAAGGTGGGGGTGGAGGCGGGCGACTCGCGGGACACGCGGGGCCTCGAGACCTTCCACCCCTTCCCGCCCGAGCGGCACCTCGCCGAGCCGCTGCCCCTCGACCGCTTCTACCCGCAGTACTCCTACTACCCCGTGCAATGGGTGAGCGAGAACCCCCCGCCCTGGCTGGGACCCCGGAGCCCCCCGGTCCCCCGTCCGGCTGGCGCTGGCGTCCCCCACTTCCCCTCAGCATCCAAGGAGCCCCCCCCGTGTCTCCGGGCCCCCTCTGTGTCACCCAGGCCCCTCGGTGTCCCAGACCCCCCACCCGTGTCCCCCCAGACCCCTGTGTCCCCTCTGCCTCCCCACCGTCGGCCCCTCCCTGCCACACCCACCCGATGGGCACCACCCACTGCCCGTCCCTACTAAGCCAACTAGGCCACACCCGCTCATTTGCATCCTCACCCCGCCCACTCCCCTGCTAAGTCCCACCCACCTTCGTCCCACCCACATAGCTCCACCCCTCCGAATCCCCCGCCCACCTCATTAACATGTAAGCCCCACCCCCCACCACCGCGCCGCTCCTTTCCCATCCTCTCCCGCCCCGCCCCGCGCGGCCCCGCCCCTGGCCCCGCCCCGCGAGGCCCCGCCCCTGGCCCCGCCCCGCGAGGCCCCGCCCCTAGCCCCGCCCCGCGAGATCCCGCCCCGCGAGGCCCCCGCCCCTGGTCCCGCCCCGCGCGGTCCCGCCCCTGGTCCCGCCCCGCGAGGCCCCGCCCCTGGCCCCGCCCCGCGAGGCCCCCGCCCCTGGCCCCGCCCCGCGAGGCCCCGCCCCTGGCCCCGCCCCGCGAGGCCCCGCCCCTGGCCCCGCCCCGCTGACGCCCCCCCGCAGGCAGCCGCCTGCTGCTCGGACCTGGCCGTGTCCTTCCACTACGTGAGTGGGGAGCAGATGTACGCGCTGGAGTACCTGACCCACCGCCTGCGGCCCTACGGCTACCGGCCCCGCTACCGGCCCCCCCCGGCCCCCACCGCCCCCCCCGGGACCCCCGGCCCCTGAGCTGACCCCCCTGCCGGCACCCCGGGGCGCGGACCCACGGCGGGGCTCTGCAGCACCGCCCCGTGGCACGGACCCACGGCTGTGCACCCCACGGGTGCCCCATGGGTGTGTACCCCACGGGTGTGCCGCCCCACAGAGCGGCTCCGTGGCACCACACTGCGGCACAGCCCCACCGCCACGGCCCCACGGCTTTCTGGCACCGTCCCACGGCACAACCTCACCAGCCACGGGCCTGTGGCTGGACCCCCCCCCCCCCACGCCCCCGTCACCGCGTGTCACGACACCAGGAAGGAGCAGCCACGGTCACAGCGCCAAGTCCGACATTGTTACGTACTTACAGTTACAACCCGAGAGATGAAAATGCTGTACACGGCCCAGCCCCCGCCCCGGCACGGCCCGGACCCCCCTCCCGGCCCCCTCTCACCCCCCAGCCCCCCAAACCGGGGACCCTGGCTCAGCCTCGCTGGTGCTGCCGGGGCACGGGGTGCGTCAGGGGCGTCACAGCAAGGGGTGCCCCTACATTCACGGGGGTGTCCCGGGGCAGCGGACGGGGTGAGCCCCCCCCCCAAAGGCCCACGGCCAGCGGGAGAGGCGGCAGGGGTCCCACCGGCGGTTCCCCCCCCCCCCCCAGGCGCCATGGCACCGTGGTGAGGGGGGGGCTGGCTCTATCCTAACACTAGACGAAGCAATAAATTAAAGAGGTTCCCAAGGGGATGCTGAGAAAAGGGGGGGGGGACGGGACGGGTTGGGGTGTCAGGCCACGGCGGGGTGGGAGGGGGTGTACAAAAGGTTGTTGTAGAAAAGGAGGCGGGGGGGGCTGGGGGGAGGTGGGGTCTGCTCTGCTCCTGCCACAGAGCTGGGGGGGCTGTGCCAGGGGGGCATGGGGTGGGGGGGCACATGGCTGGGGGTGGCGTGGGGCGGGTGATGTGGTGCAGAGGGGGTGGCATGGATGGGGGGCGGGGGGGCACAGGGAGGGCGACACAATGGGGTGATGTGAGCAGGGTGCCACAGTGGGGGGGGGATGTGGCTCAGGCGAGGAGGGGGTGGCACGGGCGGGGGTGGCACGAGTGGAATGACGTGGGCGAGGGGAGGGCGAGGGGGGGCCGCAGCGGCACCGGGAGGGCGACCCAGTGCCACCACTGCCAGCCCCGAGCGCGGGCGGGGACCTGGCACGGGCGGGGGGGGCGGGGGGGGTGCAGGACCAGAAGAGACCCCAGCGGGAGCTGATTAATAAATAAGAGCATCAAAAATACAAACCGTGGGGCGGCGGTGGGCAACGCCGGGGCCAGCGGGCACCCGCAGTCCTGGGGAATGCCGAGCGGGCACCGGGCCCCGCGCCGGCTATACCAGGGCGGTCCGGGGCTCGCAGGGCCCCACGCTGGCGCAGCTGCTCTTGCGGCGCAGGCCGGGGGTGGCCGGGCTGCCGGGACCCTCGCCGGGGCAGCCGTGCTGCAGCAGGATGTCGGCGCACTCCTGGCTGCCGGCGCGGCGGGCGTAGAAGAGCGCGGTGCGGCCCTGCCCGTCCCGTGCCCGAACGTCCGCGCCGTACTGCGGGCACAGCTGCCGGGTCAGCCGCCGAACACCCCACGCGCACGCAAGCCACCATCACCAGCCCCCCCGGGGCCGTGGCACGGTCCCCGTGGCCACGCCACGTCCCTGGTAGCCATGCCGGGTCCCCCACGGGTGGGTTGCCTCTCCCCCTCCCGTGGCCACGGCACATTCCCCAGCGGCCAACCCACGCGTCTCTCGGCACGGTGGGGTTCCCATGGCCATCCCGACACTCCCATGGCCTGCCGCATCCCCCCACGGCCACACCACGTTCCCCATGACTATGCCATCTCCCCACAGCTATGCCACGGGTCCTCGTGACCACACCATGTCCCCCATGGCCACGTCACGCTCCTTGCGACCGTGCCATGTCATCCGTAGCTATGTCAGTCCCCACGGCCATGCCATCCGCCCTCTGGCCATGCCACGGTCGCCGTGACCACACACGTCCCCCACAGCCATGCCACGGTCCCCAAGACCATGCCACATCCCCGACAGCCACGCCGTAATCCCCCGTGACCTCCCTCCTGCCCATGTCACGACCCCCATGACCATTCCACGTGCCCCACGCCCACCTCCATGCCATGCCACGGCTTCTCCACCCCCCACCCCGTCTGCCCTCCACCCCCCCCTGCCCCGACATACCCACACCAGCAGCTGGGTGATGACCACGAGGGCCATGTCGCAGGCCATGTGCAGCGCCGTGCGCCGGTCCTTGTCGCCGGTGCTGATGTTGAGCTGCTCCTTCTTGCTGTGGGCCAGGAGCAGCAGCACCATCTCCAGGTCCTTCTCCTGCACCGCGCAGAAGAGCTGCTCCCCCAGTGGTGCCTCCGCCGCCGGCAGTGGTGCCAGGAAGAGCCGTTGCTCGTACTTGGCCCGGATCCACGACTCCCGCTCCTCCCTGGGGAGATGGGTGGCATCAGGGACCACACGGCCCCGGGGAGGTGGCGCTGCGGTGACACGGTGGGCGGGAAGCACAGGGGACACCCACCGGGAGGACTCGTGGGTGGGCTTGCAGCGGCCCTGTGGGTTCTTCTCCCAGATGCTGTTGGCAGTGGCGTTGCCGATGGACGTCAGCACCAGAGTGAGCTCCCGGGGCCAGTCGTCCAGGTCAAGGGAGCGCACACGGGAGAGGTGGGTGCCCAGGTTGCGGTGGATCCCCGAGCACTCGATGCAGATCAAGGCCCCCAAGTTCAGGCTGGCCCAGGTGGGGTCTGGCGGGGGATGCGCAGAGACCGTTGGCACCGCGCTGGGGGCATTGGGTGGCCCACGGCATGGCCCGTGGCAACACATGGCCATTGCATGGCTCGTGGCACCCCTGGGCTTGTGGCACCCCATGGTGCGTGGCATTGCGTGATCCATGGCACCACGTTCGCCCGTGGCACCACAAGGTGCCTCCTTGTCCAGGGCATTATTGCGTGGACCCATGGCATGACACGGCCCATGACGTCAGACAGCCTGCGGTGTCATGTGGGACATGGTGTTTCCTTGCCCACGTTATTGGGTGGCCCGTGGCATCGAGTCACCCCATAGCACCATCTGGCTCGTGGCACACCTTAATCCACACCACTCCGTGCCCAACGGCACCGTGTAACCAAGGCCATCTCATTGCCAATGGCCCGTGGCACCAAGTAACCAATGGCCCCACGCGGCCCACGGCACTGCGTGACCAAAGGCCCCCCGTGGCCTTCTACGGCCCGTGGTACCACGCAACCGACGGCCCCACATGGCCAGTACCCCACACGGCCCATGGCATTGTGACCAATGGTCCCCCATGGCTTCCAGCCCCACGTGGCCCCTGGCACCGTGTAACTCATGGCCCCACGTGGCCAGTACCCCACACGGCCCATGGCACCACGCAGCTGATGGCACCTCATGGGCCATGGCACTGTGACCAATAGCCCCCCACAGCCCCTGGCCCCACGTGGCCCATGGCCTCCGATGGCCCATGACACCGCGCAACCGGTGGCCCCACATGGCCTGTGGCCCCACATCACCCACACCCCCCCAGGAGACTCACTGGGTGCCCCGCAGTCCACGCAGAGCGAGTTGCCCCGGGCGTTGCGGATGGCCTGGATGGCCACGGCTTCGCTCTGGCTGTCCATGCGAGCCTGGGGGAGACGGGGGGGGGGAATGAGTGGGAGGGCAGCAGTGACGTGGTGGTGGTGGTCCCTGGCCACCCGCAGGGTCCTACCTTGTTCTTGCTGCTCTCGCAGCACTGCAGGCTGGCCAGGATCTGGCTCTCGATGGCCTGCACCCAGGCGTCGCGCTCCTCGAAGCTGCCCGCCTCGAAGTGCCACGTCTGGCCCGTGCTGGACACGATGATGAACTCGAAGTTCTCCTCCTCTGCGGGACCAGAGACCCCCCGGTGGGTGGTGGGACGGGGGGCTGGACGGCGGGCGGGGGGGATCCCCTGGCCAGGAGGTGCCGGGCTGCCCCAGCCCCACCCTCGCCAGCACCCCCCCCCCCATCTTCCACCCCCTGCACCCAAAGGGGTGCCCACCCCGCTGGTCCCCACCACGCACCCAGTCCCGGGGACCCCCCGTCTCTGCCCGGCTGCCGAGCAGGGAGGGGACGTCGGGGCAGGGGATGAGATGGCGGCAGGCGAGGATGGGACACAGCCACATGCATGAGTGGAGCAGGCCACGCGCCACGCACCACGTTACCTGTTTTATAAATATTTCTTAAACTACCAAAGCTTTTTAATTTCCACATTTTGCGCTTGGCTGCAGAGGGTCCGGGGCAGCGAGAGCAGAGAGAGGAAATGGGGAGAGAGAGTCATGAGAGGAGCCCGCAAAGCCCTGGGGGTACGGAGGACGGCGCCAGGGTGCAGGGGGGTGGCAGGCAGTGGCAGAGCAAGGGGGGGGACACGTGGGCAGGGCAGCAGTGGCTGAGCGTGGCACGGGGGCGTGGGGTGGGCAGGATCAGGCCCAGATCCTCCATTCGCCGGAGCCCTGGGGCATCCTGTGGCATCCGCCCCACGGGGCGCGGTGGCGTTGTCCCCATGGTTCTGTGGCCACTGTCCATGAGTGACCGGGGGGGCTCGGGGCACCCGTCCCCGTGACGCTCACCTTCTGCCTGCCCAGCCGAACCCTCCGTCTTGGACGGCGTCATCAGCTTCTTCCGCCGGTGCTTCTTCCTGTCGATCATGGGCGACGGCGGCGGGTCTTTGCCTGAGCTGCTGGGGCTGGATACGGCCTCGAAGGCCGGGGGAGCGTCTGCCAAGAGACCCGCACGCGGGGCTGCTGGCGGCCCTCGAGCTTGCCAGGGCCACCGCGCTAATGAGGGTCACTGGGGCCACCCGGGGCAGAAGGAGCAGTGGGCTCACCAGCGCCACTGGAGCCACCAGTCACCAAGTTCACCGGGCCTGGGGGATCGGGTCTCCGAGCCCGCTGGGCTCGCCAGGCTCGCTGGGGCCACCAGGGTCACGGGAGCCACTCGGCTCACCAGGGTCACACGAGTCACTGGGAGCGCTGGAGCCACTGGGGTCACTGGGCTCACCTGGCTCGGTGTGACCTCCAGGGCCACCAAGGGCCACCGGGTCCCCCGGCGTCACCCCGGGGTCACCAGGGCTCAGCGGGGCCACCACAGGCTCTGCCCTGGGGAGGTGTCTGGGTCCACGAGCGCGAGGGGTGATGGGGACGGGGACACTCACCAGAGCCGGACAGCTTGGTGCTGGAGGCAGAGGCGCAGCGCTGCAGGGACCGCTCAGCCTTGCCCGCGCCCTTCATCCCCGGCTCTGGGGGGAGGCTGAGCCCCACGGGGGAGGCGCCAGCTGCAGGTGGGGAAGGACTGGTGGTGACACAAGGGTCCCTCCCCCCCCCCCCCAGCGCCACCACCACCGCCCCAGTACTCACCACCACCCTCGGGCGCCGTCCCGCCGCCCACGTCCTTCACCAGCCCGTTGATGCTGGCGGAGGGGCCGCAGGCGGAGATGGCGCGGGGCGGGCGCTTGCCGGGGACCTTGACGGTGGTACGGAGAAGGTCCATCTCCTTCCCATGGGTGCTGTGGATATAGTCCTGCCACGGGGACAGGCGGGGGCTGAGACTGGGGCTGCCCCCGCCGTGGGGACAGGGGTGGGGACGGTGACACTCACGTTGATGCTGGGGTGGTAGAAGAGGAGCCCGTTACTGGACAAGGTCACGTACTTCTTCTTCCACTCCTTGTTGAGGGAGTTGCCGCTGCGCTTCAGCAGGAAGCTCTGGGGACGACGGGAGGGTGAGGGGGACAGGGAGGGGACAGCTGGGGACAATGTCGTGTCCTACCTCTGCCACCACTGCCCCACCAACCTGCTTGATGGGGATGGCGCGGCCGCTGCCCGCCACCTCGCCCCGGCTGTCCAGGCTCCGCTTCTCCGAGTCGCTGCCCCGGCGCGTCTGTGGGGACGGGAGTGGGCTCAGCAGGACGCGTGGCACTGCTGGGGGTACCCGGGGTGCCACATCCCCCCCCCACCGCGGGGACACCTCGGGGTGCCCACAAGTCCCCCACTGCCAGAGCCCCATGGTGGGGACACCCTGGGTGCCATGGGTGTCCCCCATCACCACCCTGGCAGGGGGGCCCCCTAGACGCCACGTGTCCCCCTGTGCCACCACCACCGTATCAGGGGGACACCCCAGGCGCCGCGTGTCCCCTGCTGCCACCACCCTGCCAGGGGACACGCCAGGTACCGTGTACCCCCCGCTGCTGGGTAGACACCCCAGGTGCCACGTGCCGCACGCTGCCACCATCCTGCTAGGCGACACTGTGGGTGCCACATGCCCCTCTATGCCACTACCACCGTGCCAGGGGGACGACCCAGTTGCCACCACCTGTCCAGGGGGACACCGTGGGTACCACGTGTCCCCCGCCGCAGAGGTCCTGGCGCACTCACGGCGAAAAGGCTGGTGCGGCGCTTGGCCCCGCGGTGCAGGGAGCTGGGGGTGCCCAGCGGGGCTGGGGTCTCGCTCCGCAGCTCCCGGTGGCTGACGTTGGGGGTGGAGGGCAGTGAGGACGAGTAGTCGCTGGTGTGGCCACCGTTGCTGGCCTGGATGGGACAGGGAGGTCAGTCCCGGCACTGGCGTCCTGTGGCTGGAGGGCTGGGGGTGGGGGGCGGCCCCTGGCCAGGGTGGGCGAGCTGGGGGGGGCGGTACCTGGCCCGGGTGGATGCCCCCGACGGGGGTGGATGCGGCGGAGTGGCTGGGGGTGCTGGGCAGAGATTTGCAGGACGCCACGAGCTGCTGCTGCTTCTTCAGTGCCACGACCTTCTGGGCGACTGTGCCGAGAGCCTGGTGTCAGGCGGGCCAGGCTGCCGAGACCCCCCCGGCCCCGCCTTGGCCACGCTCTCCAACCCCCTGGACACGGCCCCCCTCCCACCGCAGCCACTGGCCACTATCCCCATTCCACCCAGCCGTGGCTCTGTGCCGCTCTGGCCACAAGTCCCATCCCACCCAACCACAACCGCCATCCCACGCTGGCCACGGTCCATCGTACCTGGTCACCGGCCCCCATCCCACCCCCAGCATGCACCCCCCCCCCCCCACCGGGCCTGCCAGGGGAGCCGAGCACCCCAAGACACCCACCCTCAGTGAAGACCCGGTCAACATTGAGGCCGTACGTGGCGCAGGTCTCGTAGTAGAGGCATCGCTTCATGTCCCCGCAGAGCGCCTGGGCTCGGGCATCCTCGATCACCCGGGGGTTGGAGGAGCTGATCTTGTCTGGGGGGGGGAGCAGGGGACTCAGGCGGGGGTTGTCCCCTCCCCATCCCCGTGGGGCTGGTCCCACACCCCCAGCTCACCCTGGGTGCCCACCAGCGCCAGGGCCACCTCACTGGTGCCCCGGTAGCCGCTGAGCAGCGCGTGCAGCTGCGTCACCTCCTCAAAACTGCTCTCGTTCTCCAGGCTGAAGACGAAGATGACGGCGTCTGCCCAGCTGGCAAACTGGGGGGGGTACGCGGATGGGGGTCAGGGCTCGGCCCTGGCCAGCAGGGTGCCCCCCTGCCCCCCCAGCACCCACATACCTTGGCGTCCGGGGCGCCTCCTTCCTCCCGGATGAGCAGGAGGTGGCTCTGGCCATCGACCATCACCTCGCGCTTGAACTGACCACCTGGAGCCGGAGGGCGGAGAGGGCAGGAGTCCTGTGGCTGTGCCTGACCCCATGGCCTCGAACATCCCATGGCCATGCCCAGCACCACGGCCTCATCCAGCCTCATGGCCATGCCCAGCACCACGGCCTCATCCAGCCCCACAGCGATGCCCAGGACCATGGCCTTCCCTGTACCTGTGGCCTTGACTGTCCCCATGTCTTTGTCCACCCCCATGGCCACACCAACCACCACGGCCTTGGAAATCTCTATGGCTTTGTCCAGTCCACAGCCATGCCCAGCACCATGGCTCTGACCATCCCCATGGCCATGCCCAGCACCATGGCCGCATCTGTCCCCATGGCCCTGACCATCCCCATGGCCCTGACCATCCCCATGGCCATGCCCAGCCCCATGGCCCTGACCATCCCCATGGCCCTGACCATCCCCATGGCCACGTCTATCCCCATGGCCCTGACCATCCCCATGGCCATGCCCAGCCCCATGGCCCTGATCATCCCCACGGCCATGCCCAACCCTATGCCTTGTCCATCCCCACAGCCATGCCCAACCCTATGCCTTGTCCATCCCCACAGCCATGCCCAACCCTATGCCTTGTCCATCCCCACAGCCATGCCCAACCCTATGCCTTGTCCATCCCCATGGCCATGTCCAGGCCTGTGGCCACTCACTCTCGGTGGGCTCCAGGCCCACGTAGGAGCCGGTGAGGAAGCGGTGGACGAGTGCTGACTTCCCGCTCTTGCTGCTGCCCAGGACTCCCTGGGGAGAGGGCAGAGGGGGCATCAGGGTGGCCGAGGACGGGAGGACACGGGGCAGGGACATGGGGATGTGGTACCCACCAGCCGGATCTCGGGGACGGAGCGGCCCAGGGTCCATTCCTGGCTGTTCACCAAGGCCTCTGTGGGGAGGAGAGGGGTGAGACGGCGCCCAGGCACCCCCGGCACCCCCCAGCACCCCAGCCTAGGGTAGGACACGGCCACCCCCAGCCCTGCGGCAGCACCACCAGCAACATCCTGCGTGGGCAGCCACGAGCTGTCACCAAGCAACGGCACCGCACTGAGCTTGGCGGGGGCGGCAGGAGGGACGCAGAGACGCGGCGTGGCGGGGACGGGGGATGTGGCGCCCCGCTTGCCATGGGCACGAGGACGCAGGGGACACAGGGACGTGGCAGGCACGAGGATGGAGCATGGCAAGAGGACATGGCGTGGCACAGGGACCTGGTGGGAACCAGGACACGGCGGGCACCAGGACACGGTGGGCATCAGGACACGGCGGGCACCAGGACACGGTGGGCACCTGGACGCAGCGTGGCACAGGGACACGGCGGGCACCGGGACGTGACATGGCACGAGGACACCATGGATTCCAGGACACGATGGGCACAAGGACACGGCGTGGCACATGGTGGGAACGAGGATGCGATAGAGGTGGTGCACAACAACATGGCAGGCACGAGGATGCAGCATGGCACAAGAACGTGGCATGTCACAGGGGCAAGACGGGCACGAGGACATGATGGGCACCAGGACATAATGTAGCACACGGTGGGCACGAGGATGTGACGGACGTGTGTCAGTGCACGCAATGTGGCAGGCACGAGGATACGGCATGGCACAAGGACGTGGCGTGCACGGGGACACAACAGGCGCGGTAGGAGGATGTGGTGTGGCATGGAGACATGATGGGCACCAGGATGCGGCGTGGCACGAGCACACGCTGTGGTGCATCCACGGGCACAAGGATGTCGTGGACGTGGTGCGCGAGAACATGGGAAGCACCGGTGGGGCTTGAGGACATGGCGTGGCACAAGCACACAGCGTGACACAAGGACGTGGTGTGAGTGACACAAGGATGTGGCATGGCGCAAGGACGCTGCCTGTGCCTCCCACACCCCCTGCCCACCACCCCCAGCACAACATCTCACCTCCTGCACCATGAGAAGGGGAAACTGAGGCAGGGCAGAGCCCCTCCCTCCCCCCTCCAATCCTATGCCTCAGTTTCCCCTGTGCCATAGGCAGGGCTGCCCCCCGCCAGGTGCACGGCAGGCGAGGGGTTAATGCTGCTGCCTGTCACCCCGCACATCGTCACCACGGAGCTGCCACCCACGGGTGTCCCTGCTGCCACCCCCAGCAGGCTCTGCCCACACGCCCCACGGCACCGGTGGGTCAGGGATGGGAGTGGGGCAGCCAGAGGGACGGGCAGGCGCAGGGCAGCTGTGGGGCAGCCGGACAGGTGGATGTGGGGGTGAGTGGGACAGAAGGACGGACGAATGTGTGACGCACGGATGGCACCGGGGATGGAGGAGCGGACGGACGGATGCTGGGATGGAAAGGCGGGTGAGGGGTTGGCCCCTGAGCTGGCCCCACTGGGGAAACTGAGGCACGGAGCCCTTGCCACGACTGGCCTGACACACACCACCCCCCCCCCCCCCCGTGCTGGCTGCCCCGTGGGACCCTGAGGCCAGGCAGGGGCCAGGACACCTGGGGCCCCTCGTGGCAGGGGTGGCCCTGCCCGGTGGGTCACAAGTCCCCAGCCACCCGCCCCCCCCAACCCACACACCCCCAGCCATGGGGCGCAGACGGGTCCCTCTGCTCCACTCAGGGCACAGCCCCTCCCCGGGCACGTCCAGCAAGCGGAGCCAGGCTCCCCACACCCACCTCCTGCCCCACAGCCACGGGGAAACTGAGGCACGGTAACATCCCCCCCTCGCCCAGCCCGCGCGGGGCAGCAGGCGGTACCCCCCCCCCCCCCCAAACCCCATCCCTCCTGCACCCAGGTGACTGAGGGACACGGGGAAACTGAGGCACAGTGTGGCGGAGCACAGGACCCCCCCCGGCCCCCCCCCCCGGGCCCGGTACTCACTGGGGGAGGCGCCTCTGCCCAGGTCGGTGCTGAGCAGGGCCCAGGGGGGCGCGGGGTGGGTGGGGGTGGCCGCCGGGCTCTTGGCAAAGATCCCACTGATGAACTTGAGCATCTTGCGGTCGCGGGTGGAGGCTCGGCCGCCCTCGCGCCCCCGTTTCAAGCCCGTTTCGGCGAGGGGGGGTGCAGCGGGCACCGGCGCCAGACCCCCCGGTCCTGGGTGCAAATCGCTGTAATCCAGGGTCTTGCTTTTGCCTTTGTGGGGGGAGAGCCGAGCCCGCGCCAGCGGTCGGGGGCCCCCCTCGGCCCCCGCTTTGCCCCCCGGTTTGGGGCGCCCCTTGCCTTCGCCCTCGGGCCAGGAGAGGCGGCTGCCGGCGGTTTTGTGGGTGCCTTTGCCCGCCTTGGCGTCGGGGCCCACCTTGGCCCCGCTGGTCGTCACCGTCTTGAAGGGTTTGGTGCCGGCCAGGCGCAGGCGGCGGGCCCCGGCTGCCGGGTGCGGGGAGGACACGCCGGGTGCCGGGTGGGACGGGGCTCTGCCCCCATCCGCAGCGCCCTCGGGGTGAACCCAGCTGGCCTGGCCCAACAGCGGGCGCCGGGGGGCTGCCGAGGGGTGGGGGCACTCCTGGGGTGCCCGACCCGGCTCCCCCAGCGCCTCCAAGGTGCCCTTGGCCCCCCGGGTGAAGGCGTCAGGTTTGGGGGGCACAGCGGGAGGAGGCAGCAGTGCCGGGTCGGGCTTGGGGGGCACGGCCGGGGGCAAAGGCAGCAGTGCCGGGTCGGGTTTGGGGGGCACGGCCGGGGGGGCGGGTAGCAACGCCGGGTCGGGTTTCGGGGGTAGAGCGGGGGGCAACAAGGCCGGGTCGGGTTTGGGGGGCACGGCGGGCGGGCCGGCGGCGGGCGTCGAGGCGGGCGAGTGGGGGCGGTTGGCGCCATGCCCGCTGCGGGGCTCGGCGAGCTGGGGGGCAACCGGAGCTTCGGCCGCCGGCTTTGGGCCGGGACTGGGGGTCCGGGGGCTTCCGGGGGGCACTGGGGCGTCGATGGGGCCGGAGCCGGCGGTACTTATCCAGAGAGCGTCCTGGCGCTGGAAAAGCCGCTCGGGCCTCTTGGTTTTGCCGCCGCCGCCACCGCCGGGGTCTTCGGCGCGGGCAGCATCAGCCGCCTGCCCGGGGCGGGGGGCTCCATCGCCGCCCCCCCCCGCCTGCTCCGGCTCCCCTGGGGCTGCCACCGACTCGAGCTTGACCAGGGTGAGGGAGATGAGGTAGGTGGTCCGGCGCTGGAGGCCGGTGGTCCTGCTCATGGGTGCGGGCAGGGCAACTCCCCCCCCCGCCTCCTCCACTCCTCGAGCCGGGCAGGCAGGCAGAGCCCCCCCTCCCTGTGTGTGTCCCCCCCCCCCCTTTTTCTCCCCTCGCCGGCTCCGCGTCCGCCGGTGCCGGGAGGATGCTCGGCGCGGTCCCCACCCCCGGCCCTGCCTCCCCGAAGCCTTCCCCGCTCGCCCGCCCCCGGAGGGGTTGGCACCGCCGCGCCCCCCCCTTCCCAAATCCACCCCCCCCACCCCCCCCACGCCGGGAGCGGGGCCGACCCCCCCCCCACTCACCCCAACCCCGGGTTAGCGACCGGGGGGCATCGTGGGGGGCTCCCCCCTCCTCCCCAGCGCTGGTGGAGGAGATGGAGGGATTGGGGGGGGGGGGATGTTTCAAGGGTTGGGGGGGCTCTGCGGGTGAGGGAAGATGTGAGCGGTGATGGGGCGGGGGGGTGGAGGTTGTGGGGATGGGGGAGGAGGATTGGGGGGTCAGGGGGTGGAGGAAACGGGGCGGTGATGGGGAGGGGGGTTACGGGGAGCTGAGGGGGCTGGGGGGGGCGGAGAGGGGAGTTATGGGCCGTGGGGGGATGGAGGGGTGGGGGGGGTGATGAGGGGTTATGGGGCGGGGGGGGCCATGCCCGGGACCCCCCGGGCCCGGGGCTCACGGCAGCGCCCCGACGGGTTCGTCCTTGGCGGCGGCGGGGGGGGCCGGGGCCCGGCGGGGGGGGCCCTGCGCGGCCGGGGGGGGCCGGGGCCGCCGCTCTCCGCCATGCGCCGCTCCCGGGGCCGGGCCGGGGGCGGGGGCGGGCGGCGGCCCCGCCGCTACCGGGCAGGCGCGAGCGCTCCCGGGCGCCCCCCCCCCCCCCGCAGCCGCCCCCCCCCGCGCCGGTCCCGACACCCGCCTGCGCTGCCCCACGCACCCCCTGTCCCCGCCACCTTCCACCCCCCCCATCCCCTCACCGTGCCCCCCGACACTCTGGCCCCGCCGTACCCCCTGCCCCACCCTCAGCCCTCTCCCCATCCCTGGATCATCCCTCCAGACTTCCAGCTCCCTCTGTCCCTCCCTCCCACCCCCCTGCACCCCCCAATCCCCTCCCTTCACCCCCGTCGGGCAGCGCTGGGGGTCTGGTGCGGGGGGGGGGGCCGTGGGGCCCATGGGAGTTGTGGGGGACTGCGGAGGGTGGGGGGGGGTGTCTGCGAGACTGTGGGTGGCCATGAAGGGCTGGGGGAGCCCTGGGGGGCTGTGGGGAGGCGTGGGGGGGCCTGTGGGGACCACAGACACGGGGCAGGCCCCGGCTGCCCATTTTTCCAGCATTTTTAGCAGCAGCGCAGAAACCCTCCACATCCCGTTGCCACGGCAACAGCGAGGCTGGCAACGGGGGACCAGCCGTGACACCCCGGGCCAGCCCGTCACCACCACGCGTAAACACCTCCCCGGCCTGTGCCGTGTCCGTTCCATCCCCCCCTCGCCAGCGTCACCCACCAGCCACACACACTGCCATGCCAGCGTGTCCCCCCGGCACAGCCTGGGGAGGGACACAGGGCCTGGAGACACGTGCAGGGTCCCGGGGTGGCCACAGGACCCCCGGGACAGGCCCAGGGGTGGGGACAGGGCTCGGGGGTGGGCACGGAGCTCGGAGACAGACACGGGGCACTGGGGACGGACACGGCGCCCAGGGACAGACGTGGTGCTTGGGGGCGGACACGGCATTCGGGGATGGACGCAGGGTTTGGGGACAGACACGACCCCTGGGGACAGACACACCTCTTGAGGACACCCCGCTTGCTCAGGCTTAGCGGAGCAGGACCCCCCCACCCTTCCATGCCCACCCTAGGTTGCCCGGGAGGTGGGTGCTGGCACCCAGTGGGAAAAGATAGATGGGAGGGGGGGGAGGGATGTGGCCCCATGACCCCTATGGGACAGATGTGCCCGGGGCCGAGGGGACAGGGGGGGCCTGTGGGGCTGGGGGCCACATGTATGGTGTGTCCCTCCCCTGCCCCGCGCAGGGGCCCTGGGGAGCTGGCACGTCTCCGGTGCTCGTGACAGAGCTGGGTGCGTCGTCCCAGCAACCCGCCCACGGCCCCCAGCGAGCCGCCACGGCGTGTCCCCCTCCCAGCACCCGCCGAGGATGGGGGGGCACCCCCTGAGCCTCCGTCTTGTCCATCCCTGTCACCTCAGCCCCATGGCCCTGGGGGTGACACACTGGCCCCGGCCAGATTGTGTCCCCATGCCAGGCTGAGGGGGTCTGGCCCCTCTTAGCCCCTCCACGGTGCCGGTGCTGCCCCCTCCCAGTGCAGCTCAGCCCCCCCCAGTGTCCCCCAGCAGCCCCCGGGTGAGGGGTGAGGGGTGGGTGCCCTCCCCATCGCTCAGGGGTGGCCCTCATGGCACCGTGACCCACACTATGGGGGTGGGGGTGTGTCATGCCAGGTCTGACCCCACGCCAGGACAGCCATGTCCCCATCCCATGTCCCCAGGCCCTGCTGGCCCCCCCAGTGCCCCTCTCCAGAGTCGGGGGGGCGGAGGGAAGGGGAGTGCACCCCTGGGGTGGGGGCACAGTGGCCAGCACCCCCTGGGTGCAGCCGGGCTCTGGGAGGTACCGGGAAGAGGGGTTTGGGGGGGGTCCTTTGCACCCCCCCCATTGGTGCTGGTGGTGGGTACCACTTTGCAGGCGCTTAGCAACAAGGCATCCCCCTGCTTCCTGTTGCCATGGCAACCATGCTGGGGACATGCCAGCGCACGGGGGGGGGGGGGGGGGGGGTGGGCATAGGGATGCGGGGGTTCAGCATGGGTTGGGGGGAGTGGGTGGGTTGCACTGGCGCCCATTCCCCTCAGTAATACCATCCAACCAGACACCCACCGGGGGGGGGGACCACGGGGTGGGAGAGCACCCCCTCCAAACTCCATGGGGCTCCCCAAAACAGCCCCCCCGCCCCCCGCCCCCCAGCAGCAGGGCCCCCCTCAGTGACTGCCGGAGGTGAGGAAACGGCCCACGTCACCGACCGCAGTGCCGGGGCTGCTGCGCCGGAAACCGCCCGATGGCACAGCCACGGCAAAGCGGGGCGGGCGCCCCCCGGCCCCCCCCGGCGGGTCCCTGCGCCCCCCCGTGTCCCCCCATCACGGCTCCTCATGGCGGGGCTGGTGCTGCTGGGCCCGGCCGGGTCCCTGCCGCGACAGCGGGCAGAATTGGGCCTCGGCCGCACTGGGGTGCCGGGCAGCGGTGCCCCACGATCTGGGGGGAATTTGGGGCCCCCAAGCTGGGACAGGATCCCCCAGCGCGGCTGCGGGTGCCACCGCCGGGTGCGTGGCGCGGGTCAGGGAGGAGCAGCGTCATCTCCTGTCCATCATCCGTCCACCCATCCCTCCACCTGTCTGTCCGTCCATCCCTCCATCCGCCCTTCCCTCCACCTGTCTGTCCGTCCATCCCTCCGTCCGCCCTTCCCTCCACCTGTCTGTCCATCCATCCCTCTGTCCACCCATCCCTCCACCTGTCTGTCCGTCCATCCCTCTGTCCACCCATCCCTCCACCTGTCTGTCTGTCCATCCCTCCGTCCGCCCTTCCCTCCACCTGTCTGTCCGTCCATCCCTCCCTCCCTCCCTCTTTCCCCCTGTCCATCTGTCCATCCCTTCAGCCAGCCGGCTGCCTGTTCACCCATCCACCCATCCATCCGTCCGTCCATCCGTCCATCCACCCACCCGCCCGCCCGCCCGCCCATCTGTCCATCCACCCCTCACCCATCCCTCTGTCCACCCCCACCCTTCCCGGCCGGTCCCCCGGGGGTGCCCGTACCTTGCACCACGCAGAGGGACGCGGTGAGGCTGGCCCGGAGCCGCGGGTCCGGCACCGTCTCCACCAACCGAATCAACTTATTCACGTGTTTCTTGGCCCCTTCGTGCCGCTTCACCTCCGCCCGGATGGCGGCCAGCACCTGCTGCCGGGGGGGGCTCATGGCACCCTTAGGTGCGGGCAGGGTCCCGCCGGGTCCCCGGGGTCATGGCTCAGCTCCGCTTGCCGTCGTCCCCCCCTCGGTTCATCCGGCCCCGCCGGGCCGCGCTTCCTGGCTGGCGTCACCCCGGTTGGGTGGCTGGCGTCACCCCGGGGGGGCTGGCGTCACCCCGGGGGGGAGGCTGGCACGGGCGCCCGCCGGCGGGCGCAGGGTTGGGCCTGGGAACCCAGGGAGCACCGGGGCGGCGTGGCGGTGCCCGGCCCCGTCAGCGCGTCGGGACACGCCGGAGCCCGTCGGACGGCACGGCACGGCACGGCACGGCACGGCACGGCACGGCACGGCACACCCGCCGCCTCCGGCAGCCCCGCCACGCCGGGGGGGCACGGAGGGGAGATGGGCACCACCGGGCAGGGGCGGCCGAGGGGACACGGCGGGGACACGCCAGCGGCACGGGAAGGACAGGCGGGGGCTGGGACACACCAGGGATGGGGACACACGGGGATGCGCACGAGCAGCCAGGCGAGGACATGCGTGTGCTGGGGACGCAACAGGGCACTTAGACGTGCACCCGTGGGAGTGTGTGCAGCCCCGGACACACTGGGGACATGTGTGCAGGCACGCAGACACGCTAACGACATGTGTGCAGTGAGACAGGCCCACTTGGGACATGTGTGCAGCCATATAGACATGCTAACGACATGTGTGCAGTGAGACAGGCACATCTGGGACACGTACAGCCATAGGTACATGCTAGGGACATGCGTGCAGCCACACAGCCACGCTAGGGTCACGTATTCAGTGACAAAGACACACTGAGGACACATGTGCAGCCACAGAGATGCACTAGGGACCTGTGTACGGCGCCACGGGCACAGCAGGGATGTGTCCGGGGCGATGGGGTCTCTCTTTAGGGACATTAGTGGGAGGGGGGTAGCGACGGCAGGGATCTGGAGGGTGGGCGCGGGATGGGGCTCTGGGGGGGCGGGAGCCGCTCCCTCCCGGGTGTCCCCGTCCCCGCACCCACGGCCCTGCACCCTGGGCACGTCCCCATCCCGGCTGGGTCCCCCACCCGCCCCACGGCCCCCAGCTCCAGCCTCCCTGGCCCCCCTGAGCTCCCCCAGCTACCCCTTCCCCACCTCCCCCGTGCCCTCCCAGCTCCATCCCCCCGGCACTCACTGCCCCCGCCCCATTCCATCCTCCCCATCCCCCTAAGCCCCCCCAGCTCCATCCTCTGTCTCCCCCACCCTGTGTCCCCCCAGGTCCACACCCCTGGTACCCGCTGAGCCCCCCCAGCTCCATCCTCTGTCCCCCCTGTATCACTCCAGCTCCATCCTCCCTGTCCCCCATATTCCCCCAGCTCCATCCTCCCCCCCCCCTGCGCCCCCCCAGCTCCATCCTCCTCTTCTCCCTACATCCCACCAGCCCCATCCCCCCTGTCCCCACGGGGTCCCCCCCGCACCCCCCATCCCATGGAAGATGTGCTCTAAGCCAGCGTTGAGATCCTTCCCGCTGGGTCGCAAACCCCACCCGCATCTTCGGGTGACCCTGGAAAAGCCTCCTGAGGGGCACAGCCCTGGGGGACAGCACCACCGTGGGGGCAGACGCCCCCCGCCCGGCCGCTGACACCCCCAACCCTCCTCATCCGAATCCCCTTCCCTTGACGAGGAAGGAGCTCGTTAGCGTGGCCGTGACGCGGGCCTGGAAGACGGCGTTGAGGAAGGCCCCCACCTCCTCCTCCTCGGCCGCCACCATCTCCTCGGGGCCCCTCCCGGGTGTCCAGTGGGGCCAGGAAGCGGGAGAGGGTGGGCTTGGGGGGGAGCCTCGTCCCACACACAGGAGGAGCCCCACATGGGGAGGAGGGGGTGACAAGGGGGGCAAGGGGCCGTTTGGGAAGGGGGATGGGGAATGGAGGGATGGGGGAGACGAGGTGTGGGGTGGAGGTGGGGGATGGAGGTTTGGGGTGGAGATTTGGGGTGGAGGTTTGGGGTGGAGGTTTGAGGTGGAGATGGGGGATGAAGATTTGGGGTGGAGGTTTGGGGTGGAGGTTTGGGGTGGAGACGGGGGATGGGGATTTGGGGTGGAGGTTTGGGGTGGAGATGGGGGATGGGGATTTGGGGTGGAGATTTGGGGTGGACGGAAGGGTGGGGCCGGAGGGGTGGGCATGGGTGGGTGGACAGATGGGTGCGCGGGTGGGAATATGGGTGCGAGAGGGGACGGACAGCCGAACCCAAGGGGTCTGAGTGGAGACAGACGGACAGAGAGACGAATGCATGGACGGACAGACGGACGTGCTGCAGGGGGGTGTTGGGAAGGCCCGACGGCCGGGTGAGTGCAGGGACAGCTGGGCGGACGCGTGAGCGGATGGACAGACAGACGGGTGGTGCCAGCTGGCCTCGCCGATGACGGGGGGACCCCAGTGCTGGGGGGGGGGACACGGACACCCCGAGCCTGGCTGGGGCAGGTGGGGGTTCGGCTGTACCCCACAACCAACCCTGGCTTGGTTGGGGCACGGCACGGCTCAGAGCGGGGCCAACCCAGGGGCAATTTGGGGACATCCCCCCCCCCCCCCAGTTTTACCCCATCCCCTTCTGGCTGCGCAGGGCAGGGGCTTCCCAGCCGCGCCTCCCCCCCCACATTGGGCGTTTAACACCCCAAAATCTCGGCGACCCTCCCGGGGAGTGGCCCCGCAGCAGCCCCCCCTTTATCACCAGGGGCTGTTGAACATTCGAGGGGGCAAATCGGCCCCTCCGAGGCCTTGGCTGGGAGTGGTGGGGGGCACGGCCCCCCCGCCTGCCCTGCACAAAGCTCCGGGGGGGACTGGGGGGGGCTTGGGTACTGGGGAGGCTGCAGGGGCCGTGAGAGGGAGATAGGTTATGGGGGGTCTGGGGGGGCAATGGGGGGGCCACGGACGCCTATGGGGCTATGGGAGACCATAGGGCAGCCTAACAGTTTGGGGGGGGGATGTAGGTGCCTGTACCCCATAGACCACCACCCCTGGTATGGGGGGGTCCATAGGGTACGAGGGGGGTTGTGGGGAGACCTGGAAGTGCTTAGAAGGACTATGGGGGGGCTATGGGGTACCTGGGGGTGACTAGGGGGCACCGTGGTGGACTGGGGAAGGTTTGGGGGGGGGGTCAGAGGCACCTGAGAGCTGCAGGGGGGGCACAGGGACAGGCAAGGGAGATTATAGGAATTCTGTAGGACGTGGGGGTATAGGGGGCTATAGGGGGCTATAGGGGGCTATAGGGGGCTATAGGGGGCCGGGGGGCGCTACAGGAGGCTGTGGGGGTCCTGGGGGAGCCATGGGGGCCTGAGGGAGGGGCCGGGGGTGCTGGGAGGGCTAGGGGGTCAGACAGGGGACCGGGGGGGCTTTAGGCAACAGGGAGGCTATGGGGGTCCAGCGGAGCTAACAGGGGGTCCGGGGGGGTAATGGGGGGTGTTATAGGCAACCAGGAGAGGGGGTCCTGGGAGGGCTAATAGGGGACCTGTGGGGCGGGGTTATAGGCAGCCAGGGAGGCTGTGGAGGTCCAGGGGCGCTAATGGGGCCCCGAGCGCCTCTGCGGGACCGGGGCGGGGGGGGGGGGTGGGCCCCCACAGGACCCCCGGGGGGTCCCGGTCCCGCCCCCCCCCCTCGGGCATTCACCGCGGCCTCAGGGCGCTCTGTGCGCATGCGCCGCGCCCCCACCTCGAGCGCTTCCGCCCGTCCTTCCCGGAGCGCAGGCGCAGGGGCGGGGCGGCGCGCAGGCGCAGGGCGGTGGGCGGGGCGGCGCGCAGGCGCAGTGTGGCGCTGGGCGCGGGGCCGGGATTTAAAGGGGCCGGAGCGGCCGGGGCTGCGCTGCCCCCCCACCCCCGGGACCCCCCCGGGACCCCCCCGCCATGGTGTGCGGCGGCTTCGCCTGCTCCCGCAACGCCCTCTGCGCCCTCAACGTGGTCTATGTGGTGAGCGGGGCCGGGGGGGGGGCCTGCAATAATGGGGAACCCCCTTACCCCCCTCCTCGCGATTTGGGGCGGGGGGGGGGCGGCCTGTGCCCCCCTCCCGCTGAGGGACTGGGCGCCCGCGCTGCTCTGGGGGTGCTGGGATCCCCTCTTCTTGGGGGGGGGGGGGGCACTGTTAGGTTCCCCCCCACAAAGGGTGAGGCTGAGGGGGGAGATGGGGGGGGGGCACGGAAGGGGGATCCCCCCCCCCCCCAATTCGGGGTTGGGGGGGCTGTGAGGGGACCTTTGGGGTCCCCCCCCGCTCTGGGGGTGCTGCTGCTGGGGCTGGGCGGGGGGGGGGGTGCCCCAGGCCCACGAGTGGGGGGGCCCTCGTGTCCACATCCCTGTGCCTGCTCCATCCTTGTGTGTCCGTGTCCGTGTCGTGTCCCCGCGGGGGGGTCTGGCTGCCCCGGCCCCTCTACCCGGGGGGGGGGGGGTCACTGGGGGGTGGGGGACGGGGTCTGTGTGTGCCCCCCCCCCCCAAATGGCCTTGGGACCCCACCCCGACCTCAAAGACACGAGACACACACACAGTCACAATCTTGGGGGGAGGGGGGGAGCACCCCCCCCCAGAACCCCCCCCCGGGCACCCCCCCCCGGCACCCCCCCCAGCACCCCCCGCTGCCCTGGGGGTGGGATGGGGGGAGCCGGGGATGCGCCCACATTTGTGAGCCCGCCGGTAGCGATGCCCCAGTGGGGAAACTGAGGCACGGTGGCACCGGGGTGCCCCCCCCCCCCCGAGGCAGAGGGTGCCGGGGTGACCCCCCCCCCCCCCCCCGCAGCTGGTGGGGCTGCTCCTGATCGGGGTGGCCGCCTGGGGAAAGGGCTTCGGCATCGTCTCCAGCATCCACCTCATCGGGGGCGTCATCGCCGTCGGCGTCTTCCTCCTCCTCATCGCCATCGTGGGGCTGGTGGGGGCCGTCCACCACCACCAGGTCATGCTCTTCTTTGTATCCTTTAATTGGGGGGGGGGGGATGACACCCCCCCCCGACACATGACCCCCCCCTTCCTCAGTGCCCTCCCAACCTCCCCTGGTGTCCCCAGCCCCCTCCGTGGGGATATGGGGGGGG